ATGTATTCTGCATATAAGTTAAATAAGCAGGGGGACAATATACAGCCTTGTCGTACTCCTTTCCCAATTTTGAACCAATCAGTGTTTAAACCTAAGATGACTTAGGTTTAAAAAAGGGCAGGAAAGGAGGGAGACAGTGGAAGAGAAGACAATGGGGGAGGGAGAGAGTATGGAGTTTAAAACACATGGTAAACCCACACATTTTACACCAACACATTTTAAACCGAGCCAGCACAGACTCTTGCAAAACCTTTTCTGATTTGCAAGGGAAGCATGCAGGAGCCATTGCAAAAGCACAGAAAACAAATGGAGCAGATCAGAAATGCGAAGAGAATGAAGCAAGAAAGCAAGGGAAGCATGCAAGACACATTGAAAATGGGGGAAACCCCCCAAAAAGCAAACAAACCCCCCAAAACCCATTAGAAATGGGGAAAAACACTCCAAAAAGCAACCAACCCCCCATTGGAAATGGGGGAACCCAAAAAGCAGACCACCCAAGACCCATCACAGCACAGAAACATAACCCCCAGCTGAAAACCAGCAAAAATACCCAGCACAGTTTTTTAAAAGTACAAAGCAGCACCTTACCTTAGTAGGCAGCCTCCTCGGATTTCACACTCTCTTAACTCCCGGGGCGAAAGAGCTACAAAGCAGCAGCTTCGTCGCCACCTACAGTTAGCTATTTGAATTTCCTGCCCTTTTCCCCTGCCTTTTTTCTGTTCGTAGGTCAAAGCAAAATTATGTGAATGGAGCTGTTCATAACTCAAAATGTTCGTGGGTCAACGCGTTCGTAAGTCAAGACACCACTGTACTGTTATATAGTTCCTGAAACTGATTAACTGTAATCACAAATACAGTCAAGGATACCAGAATGAAATCTGTTCTCCACCAGCAAGCTTCCAGTGTTACCCATGACAAGAACAACATATTCATTAAAAATACACCAGAAAAGGAAAGCAGGCAATGCCTATTTCAAAACATCAATTAGGCTGTTCTTCCACTATGATGCATTATATCACCATTACAAGATACAGAAACCATGTCTATGTCCCAGACAAAAGATGCCCTCCTTCATGAAAACTGGGAAAAATATAACTGATTAACCATATATAATGTATACAAATAATGTAAATGTACATCTGCAATTAACTTCAAGGTAATAATTGATGGGATTTTTCTCGATTTGATTTCCTGTCTATATACTATAATCTGTTTCACCAAATACCAAGCAAAATTCTGTTTATGTAAACTTATGTTATAGAGGCAGCTGATACCATCTGCCACTAACAATATTTAGTTTAAATAAATTAAAAGCTTCTTATCCCCTCATTTCAGGTTCCAAGGCTCATTGAGCTCCCTTTTGCCCTGGGAAAGCCATTGGGAGCCTTGGAACGGTGGTGGGGAGTCCGATGCCATATCACCACAAGCATTGAGTGCAGTCTAAAAATGAATACTAAGAAAAGCAAGTTCATGGCAATCAGTAAAAAAAAAAAACACCCAAAAAAACCAAGCAGCCCAAGAAATGCAGTTACAGAATCGAACTGTGGGGCATATAAGCAAATACAGGTACAATGAAGCACATGTGTTCTATGCTGTCCAGTTGGAACTGACTTATAGTGACCCTAATAGGGCTTTCAAGGTAAGTAAAATATTTAAAGAGTGGTTTTACCAGTTCCAAGGTCAAAACCTTCCTGTTCCAGAAGGCTTTTAATTGAAATAATATCAACTGTGGGTCCTGCTGGCAATTTTTAAAGTATATATTTTAATTGTATATTAATTGTTTTAGCTTTTTTATTGTATTTTAATTGTTGTACGCCGCCCGGAGACTTTTAGGTAGTGTGGGCGGCAAAATAAATAAATAAATAAATAAATAAATACTGTTCTCCAGAGTCCTAGTTTGCCATGCTATCCAGTACACCATACTGGGAACTTACTGGAGCATCACTAAATCAAATCGTAAAATTCTGTAATAAGAGTTGTGGTGAATGCTAGTTTACCACCCTGAAACCGTAGGAACAAAGCAGATTATACAACTATATTTTTGCAGTGCAACAGTAGAGCTGTACTGCTGCAACTCTACAAGGCTTCATAGTGATCCTACAGCACCCCAGCTTATATCTCAACAGTTACATACCAAACAAGATCCATATACAAAACTGGATGCTATGGAATGAAGTCTACTGCCTTTACACAGAACAGGCAGCTACCTATACAGGACTGGGCCAATTTAGCAGCAATGATGCACTCTGACTGGAAAAAAAAATCTGCACTTTAGGCAGAACCAGTGCTGTGGTTCCCTGGTTAAGCCCACTTCTTACAGTCATTCAGCCACTCTGCTCTTGCTCATCCTGGGGTGGGAATCCTCAGAGAGAGTCAGATGTAGTAGAAATTGTGGACTTTTGACTGAAACTCCGAGACCTGTTCAGTCTCCCAGACACTGAGATGCCCTGGAGAGCGTAATACAAAAAATAAAAATTTCTCAAGGCAAAGCAAGGCTGCTACAACTCCCACAAATATGGGGGGATAAATAATGGATGAGTCCTAGCCTCATCCATTAGCTGGATGAGGCTAGGACTGGTTTAGTACCTTCCACCCTCTCAGTCAAATCCAGACAACTTCCTTGAAATGCTTGTAATTTATTTAACAAAAGGAAAAAAGGGAGGAAGGGAGGGGGGAGAAACCAATCCAAAAGGTTAAAAGAGATAAAAGTACCAAATGGTTACAAGAAACAAGCTTTCCAAATAAGGAGCAAAAGTGGGCACAGGCAGAAAACATACCAAAGCAATAAACGCTAACCTACTGTAGCTACTATACTCCTACCTGATCATTTCTGGGCATGTGCAGAATCCTGGCACAGCTTTGTAAGATGGCAAATGGATTCTGAATCTACTTGCAAGTCAAATCAAGTCATTTCAGGCAGCAGGTAAGGCATCCCTCTTCACAGAGATAGCCAGCCCAACTAACCAATTCCCCCAATTCCCTTTTATACAAATAAATGAGCAATTTACAGACATATTGCCTATTACATCTGTTGTTAGCCGCCCAGAGTGGCCTGGTTGCCAGATGGTACGGGGTATAAATCCAATACTGTAAATAAATAAATAAAGCCCTTACATGTTCTGTCAGGACAAAAGGCAGCTTCTTGACTTGATGCTGTTCCCATTGCCCCAGTTTACTCTCTGGGAACATAGCAGGCTGAGTCAGGGGTTACAGATAAGTTTAGAGTTTGGGTAGGGCTGCTTTAATATGTCCTCTGATAATGATAGCATGAAAGCATTTGCTCCCTTCCTCAGTCCTTCCTTTAAAGTGTGTGAAAGCAGATGATGCGATCATAGAATCATGAAGTTGAAAAGGGCCTATAAGGCCCATCAAGTTGAACAACCCCCCCCCTCCCGTTGAGTGCAGGAATCCACATCAAAGGATATCTGCCCCGTGGCTGTTTAAATTTCTCTTGAATACCTCAAGTGTTGGAGTACTCACCAACTCTTGAGGTAATTGATTCTAAATAATGTTATCTGATTTAGCATGTTTTGTTCAAGTATATATTATATTCAAAAACATTCAACACTTTATGTGGAAATTATTTTATTAGAACACTTATATATGGTGAAGATAATAGAATATGCTTCCCTTACATTTAACAAAAAAACAACTATACCTGAAAGAACACTTTTCTAGGGGATACATACTTAAAGACAGCTGCACCTGATATATATTATATCAGCAGTTTACTTTTCTTTTACTGAAGTATAAATGTAGTACCTTCAGTTTTACTTACTCAACTTTCTGCATTACTTTTCAGCTTCATTTAATGTTAAGAAAATCTGATTCAATGCAACTACTTGATCATTCTGTTTAGTAAAAAAATGAATTGCATTCTGCAGCACAGACACATTCTCACTTATTCTCACTTATCTGTACTTCTGACAGAAGTGAGAGATTTTGCAAAATAAACACAAGCTTAGCAGTGTGTTCAGTTGTTAGTCTACTTAATTTACCCTATTTAAGAATTAGTGCAGTGAAATCGCCCCAGAGGGAGACCCCAGCTGCGCTACAAGGATATCTGCAAGTGGAATCTGAATGCCTTAGGAATGGACCTCAGCAGATGGGAAACCTTCAGCCTGGAGGCAGGCCGTGCAGCACTGCCTCTCCCATTTTGAAGAGACACTTGTCCAGCAGGCCAAGGCAAAGAGACAGTCCCGAAAGCAGCAAAATCAGGGAGCTGGACAGGGGACAGATTGGATTTGTCTTCAGTGTGGAATGGATTGTCACTCTCGAATTGGCCTTCTCAGCCACACTAGATGCTGTTCCAAGTCCTCTATTCAGAGCACATTACCATAGTCTCTCGAGACTGAAGGATGCCTAATCCTAAATTTTTTTTTCTTATTGTGTTTTAATATTGTTGCTCATATTATTGTTAGCCACCCAGAGTGGCCTGGTTGCCAGATGGTGTGGAGTATAAATTGAATTAATTAAATTAAATTTAAATAAATAAATACACCATGTAGAAGTCTGGTCTAGACCTAGAAGGAATCCAAATGCATTGTGCATAGGAAGAGGTTGTCACACATTATTTTACATTACTTCATTAGTTGCCACAGTAGGCAACTGAGCACTAGGGTTTGTTGATGCTTGTCACCTTGAAAGAATAACTTATAGAAGTTCCTGTTCTACATTTAGCCCATCTAATATGATTGACCACAGCACAAAAAAACAGCCCAGAAGATTTTCTCCCCTTTTCTGCACATCACAAGGAATGAAAATACATTCCTGCCTTTGTTAAAGCAGGAAGTCCCCTTTGCCCTTTCAAATGAAAGCTCATCATCAGTTGCACACATATCAAGAACCATTGAAACATGAAAGCTCATCATCAGTTGCACACATATCCAGAACCATTGAAATATGGTTGTTGTCGGTTTTTCGAGCTGTTCGGCCATGTACATTGTCGGTTTTTCGAGCTGTTTGGCCATGTACGCCCGAAAAACCTGCATCAGATCCTAGCCATGAAAGCCTTCAAGAAACCATCATAACACCTGGACCAGCTCAAGCCATTTTGGTCCAAATGGAATCTCTACCCTGCAAGTCAAAATGACCAGAATAGCCAAGTGATTCTGGAACATCCTTATTTTTGCCATCCATGAAAGCAAAATAAATTAAACCATAATTTGCTGCCTGAGGTGACCCTAGTTGACCCAGGCAGATAGATACCTGGAGTCAGAGCCAGTACTGCCCCTAACACATCCCCACGTGGCTTTCATTTGTTGGTACAGTTTCTTCCACGGAGAAGTAAGTGGCAACCCTAACAGAAAAAAAGATAAAAATAAAAGCCAGAAGGAGACCGTACATATTATTTCCACGTTCTTCTTCTCATAAGTATTTTACCCTATAGCTTGTGGAATAATGGTTGTATAAATGCTACTCCGGAGCCCCTCTCATCCCTGAGCAAATCTCGGCTTGCCCCCTTGCAGTCCTCTCTTCAGTCAGACTCCGTGGGTCCTGACCCGATGCTCTCTTTCCCCTTATCTAATCGCGTAACTCACGCAGATAGAGATGCGCAGCACACCGCGCTGGTAGTCCTTGTACAATTCAGCAGCTTTCCGGTTGCACTCAATGCACCTGTAGACACCGGGCTCTTCCATTTTCTTCGCAGGTTGGCGAGGGGGAAAAAAAAACCCTCCGTTGCCACAGAAACGCGCCTTTCGCTTTCAAGACTTCCGCGTTCTTCACACCCGACTTCCGCCAGCGGAGGACAAGGCCCTAGAGCGTCCCGGTCTTTGTAGTTTTCGGAGCCCCAGATTGTTGAACGAAGTGCCCGTCTAGGAACTACCATTCCCAGGAAGCACCTCGCTCACCCCTTCCTGAGCGAGACCCATGGAGGGAAGGAACAGGAAAAAAAAGGTAAACTACTTTGCGCAGGCGTGGTGGGAAGATGGCAGCCTCAGCGGCTGCCTCGGAGCGCTATGGGCTGAGTATCGCTGCGCCGCTGCCGCTTTTGACGCTGTGGCTGAGGTTGGCGGTGATCGCCCGGCCGGTGGTCGCCCTGACGGAGCAGTACCCGTCCCTGTCCTTGTTTAGGCAGGAGCTGCACCGTCAGCAGGTCCAGGGGGACAGAGGCTGCCCGGATCTGCTGGCGGCTGACTGGGGCGGGGAACAATATGCCGGCGTAGCTGCCGGTGACTGTGGTGAGTGATGGAGGGGGGAAAGGGGCACCTCGCTTCCTACTGGGTGAGGGGGATGATGGATCGGGCTAGATTGTTTTAAACTCCGGTTGCAGAAGTGGCATTTTTCAGTTCTCCTTTACAGAAAGAAGGTGGGGGGGAGGGAACCCCTTGTCTTTGAGAAGAGTGAGTATGCTGATGTATTGTTGAAGCAATCGATGTTACAGTGATCGGATGAGACCGGTGGGACCCAGAAAACCTCCTTACACATGACTCCAGTGTGCTATTATACAGTATATGGTCTTTTCACAAAGGCGCACCACACGGGCTGTCGGGAGCACGGCCGGGATGGGCTGGTGCGCTCCTAAAGAGAGCGATCAGACGAGGTCTTTGCTAGAGCGCACTCGCCGGTCCCCAGAGCATTCCTATTACTGTACTCGCACTTTTCTGGGCTTATGCTTTTTTTGGTGCCAGTTGGATCGTAGTGGTTTGACTCGATTCCAGCACGTGACCACGGGAACTGATCCTTCCTCTTTTAATTTGCCAATATCTCGACAAGCCTTCCTCTTTTAATTTGCCAATATCTCAGAATAGCTTAATAAACAAGCCATTTCAGGTTATTGGCAATTTCATCACTTCCCCTCAGCAGAGAGCAGAGGAAGTGAAATATTTTTTATTGTATATAGACTATTGCCAACGCACTATATGAGTTATAAAATACAGTATTTTCAATTTTTTTTTTCTGTGCTTTATCTTAAAGGGCTGGCCAAGAAACCACCTGCCGTCCAACCCATGGTGGTGGCTTTTGATGTAGGCAGTTTCTCAATCAAGCCTTTAAGAGAAGGCAAAGAAAATATTTTTTAGTTTTTTAAAGTAACTGATGGACTGCATCAGAAATAGTCTATATACAATTTAAACAACAACCATACTTTCACTGTCCTCTGCCGAGCAGGGGAAATGACTAATTTGCCACTATCAGGCTCATATTAAGCCTCTTCATGATATAGGCAGGAGTTGTTTCTATGTGAATGTTCAGGCTTGACTACATCATTCTAATGAAGCTCAGCCATTCCCAAGCAGCCCACAGTAGCTCACTCTGCTCCTAGTGTAGCTGTATCCTTAGGTTCCAAGTTCTGAGCTGAAGCTCATTGCAAGCTACCCCTCAGTAGAATCTAGGTAACATCATGCAGAAGAATGGATTAGACCATTTCACCTTCTGTGCTTGTTTTTTTGTTGGAGCAGAGAGCTTTTGACATAGTAGACTACTCATTGTTTGCAGTCTAAAGTGGTGTGGTCTCTTCCCATCTCCCTGGAACCCTGACAACTTCACTCTTTGTTTTGCTACAAATTTAATTAATTAATTAATTATATTTCCACCCCGCCCATCTAGACCAAAGGTCTACTCTGGGTGGCATTGCACCCGAAGGACCTCCGTCTTGCCCGGATTCAGCCTCAGTCCATTCACCTGCATCCATTGCTGAACAGTCCCCAGGCAGCGCTCAAGGGACAAGATAGCATCCACTGTTGTTGGAAAAAAGGAGACGTAGAGCTGAGTATCAGTAGGATGCTGATGAAACGAAGCCCCACATCCCCTGATGACTCCTCCCAGCGGCCTCATATAGATGTTAAATAGCATTGGAGAGATAATCGAGCTCTGCAGAATCCCGTAGTTGAGACTCCATGGGGCCGAGAAACTCTCTCCAATCTGCATTCTCTGGGGATGTTTCTCTAAGAAGGAACAGAGCCAGGCAAGAGCCTGGCCACCAATTCCCAACTTGGGGAGCCTCCCCAGGAGAATACTGTAGTCGACGGTATCAAAGGCGGCTGAGATATCGAAGAGGACTAGCATAGGCATTTTGCCCCTATCGGTCTCCCTCAGCAGGTTATCAAACAGGGCGACCAATGCTGTTTCTGTGCCATGGCGTGGCCTGAAACCCGACTGGAATGGATCCAGGGCATTGATTCCATCCAGAAGAGCCTGCAGCTGATCAGCCACCACCCTCTCAACTACCTTGCTTTGGAAGGAAACATTGGCGACGGTCCTATAATTACCAATATTGTCTGCCACCAAGCTCGGTTTCTTCCTAATGGACCTAATGAGTGTCTCCTCCTGGAGAGAGCCATTAATTATTGCCGTAGCCCATTCAGATGTTATAGGCCTGGCTGCTTTGATTAGCCATGCCAGGCAAGGGTCAAGGAAGGAGGTGGTGGCACAGCAGTGGTCAAGCACTCTGTCCATTGTATCTGACTTCACAGGCTGAAAGTGGTTAAGTCTCATCGGGCAAGATGGAGCGCTGTATGTCTCGGCACGAGCCACTGTTTTCAAATAGGGGTCAACATCCCGGCAGATGGCCTCCAGTTTAGATTTTTAGAATGCTGCAGATTGGTCAGGTGAGATGCTAGTGGGAGGCCAGTCACTATGACCAACTCCGGATAGATTGTGAACTGTATTGAAAAGTTCTGCCTGCTGGTTGGAGGCTTCACTGATCTGGACAGTGAAGTAAGATCGACTAGCAGCCTTCACCTTAGATTGGTAGAGGTTAGTTATGATCCTGACAGCTATTTGATTATTTTCCGTCGGGTTCCACCTCCATATGCGCTCTAGCCTTCTCCTATTTTGCTTCATTGATCCCAACTCTGGCTTAAACCAGGGCGAAGGACAATCTCTGCGCTGGAGAAGACGTTTAGGTACGATCGTGTCAACAGCCCTGGTGGCAGTGGCCAGCCAGCCTCTACAGGAGCGTCAGTCAAATTGACCGGAATCCTTCTCATGGCGTTCTCTCTCTCCCCCCCTCTCTTTTTTTTAAACTAATGCCTTTTTTCTCATAGGATTACCTTTCCTTAGGGGCAGTGTTTGTAATTATTTCTAGTCTCCATTTGGCCATGTGGCTCCCAAAGGGCAGGAGGTCTGATAAACAATTCTACTGGAAAAGGGTGCTGCTTGTTTTTGAGAGTGGGTCCATGTGGTTCTCCAGATGACTTGATCACTATTGTCTGTTCACAAAATCTGTATGAAGCGGTTGTTCTGGGTTTTTCGGGCTCTTTGGCTGTGTTCTGAAGGTTGTTCTTCCTAATGTTTCGCCAGTGTCTGTGGCTGGCATCTTCAGAGGACAGCACTCTGTGCTCTGTATGAAGCATTGCTGCACTGCTGAAATGTGTGCACTGGGCTTTTGGTATTTTATTTTTCTACTTCAGAGGCACGTTTTTCAGTTGATTATGAGAAACTTGGTGCCATTAAATTTTTGTATTGTTTTGTTGGTTTTACTTCAGTGCAATTTGGACTTTAAATATTGCTGCTACTTTACCTACATTTTACCTACATCCTAGCAGCACCCAGTGTATAATATTATTCAGTTTGTTTGTTCATTTGAGATCCCCATCCCAGTAAGTCAGTGTTAATCCCATTGGGGTTGGTGACTCCAATTTTGCAGGTTTGGTGAATTGCTTTGGGTTTTAGACTGGACTTTACAGGATTTATGCAAGGGTTGAACCTATTTTGGGAACTGGCTTCAGCTCCTTGGATAGCACCTGTAAAAGCCAGAATAAATCTGGATTCACTGCTCCTGCAAAATGGAAGTGACCATGTTCTAAAAATTAATGTCCAAGTTTACAATGTCTTGGCTTTTGACACTCCATGCCTCCCAGTGAGGCCAGGGCTGCTATGGATCACAGTTTTACTCTGTTCTCATTCTGCATACTAACTTGCTGTTAAATCACATTTTTAAATTGGACTGCCTAGCCCCAAACTCACAGTAGTTCAGGTATAAGACTTTTTAAAAATGTCTTATTAACTTAAGAGTAAAATGGTCATCATAGCAATTATAGTGACTCAAGCTTTTTAGAACTTGGAGTATATTATTAAAATAAATTGATCAGGATTTAACAAACTTTAATCTCTTTACATTCTTTATAATAAAATTTTATTTTGCCTTTTGTGCCTCACACGCAATGCTTACATGCCAACACTTACATGTTCTTCCACAGCTATTGCTAAGTAAACACAAAAGGTAATAATGACAATATTTCTGTTTTAGATTCTTCTTTCTTGCACTTTCACGAGTCAGACTGTGAACTACGAGGGTCTCCATGTGAATCACTGTTTTCTCTCAATACTGAAAAACTTCTGGTACGTTTATCTATTTATTGTCCTTAAAGATCTTTGTTAAAATTGAACAATATATTTTAATAAAATATATTAAATGGAATATTAGCTTCATAAATAGTTACTTTAAAAATTTTCCAATTATATTCATGCCCTGCCCAGGATATTGTGCTGCCTGAGCAGTAAATGACACTTCCACCCATTCAAGTCAGATACTCAAGGCAAGGCAAGTTATTTTGGCACCTGAGGAAAGTAATCTTATAATCTCTTCCCATTCCTGGCAGAAAACTCCCCGATCTTAGTAGATCTTGATTTTAGAGACGTGGACATACAGTTGTTGTTGTTGTTTAGTTGTTAAGTCATGTCCGACTCTTTGTGACCCCATGGACCAGAGCACGTCAAGCTTTCCTGTCTTCCACTGCCTCCCGGAGTTGGATCAAATTCATATCGGTAGCTTCGATGACACTGTCCTACCATCTCGTCTTCCATCATCCCCTTCTCCTCTTGCCTTCACTCTTTCCCAACATCAGGGTCTTTTCCAGGGAGATTTATTTTCTCATGAGGTGGCCAAAGTATTGAAGCCTCAGCTTCTGGATCTCTTCTTCCAATGAGCTTTTTAAGATGCTGTCACGGTTTATCATTGCTTTCCTCCCAAGAAGCAGGGATCTTTTGATTTCGTGGGTGCTGTCACCATCTGCAGTGATCATGGAACCCAAGAAGGTAAAATCTGTCACTACCACCATATCTACCCCTTCTATTTGCCAGGAGTTGATGGGGCCAGTGGCTATGATCTTAGGGTTTTTTTTGTGGGTTTTTTTTTTATGGGGCCAGTGGCCATGATCTTAGGTTTTTTTTGTATGTGTGTGTTTTGTCTTTTTTGATGTTGAGCTTCAGTCCATTTTTGTGCTCTCCTCTTTCATTAAGAGGTTCTTTAATTCCTCCTCACTTTCTGCCATCAGAGTGGTATAATCTGCATATCTGAGGTTGTTGATATTTCTTCCGGCAATCTTAATTCTGGCTTGGGAGTCCTCCAGTCCTGTCTTTCGCATGATATATTCTGCATATAAGTTAAATAAGCAGGGGGACAATATACAGCCTTGTCGTACTCCTTTCCCAATTTTGAACCAATCAGTTGGTCCATATCCAGTTCTAACTGTTGCTTCCTGTCCCACATACAGATTTCTCAGGAGACAGATAAGGTGGTCAGGCACTCCCATTTCTTTAAGAACTTGCTATAGTTTGCTGTGGTCCACACAGTCCAAGGCTTTTGCATAGTCAATGAAGCAGATGTTTTTCTGGAACTCACTGGCTTTCTCCATAATCTAGCGCGTGTTAGCAATTTGGTCTCTAGTTCCTCTGCCTCTTCGAAATCCAGCTTGTACTTCTGGGAGTTCTCGGTCCACATACTGCTGAAGCCTACCTTGGAGGATTTTGAGCATAACCTAGCTAGCGTGTGAAATGAGTGCAATTGTACAGTAGTTGGAGCATTCTGTGGCGCTGCCCTTGTTTGTCATTTGTATGGTAGTTGGAGCATTCTTTGGCGCTGCCCTTATTTGGCATTGGGATTTAGACTGATCTTTTCCAATCCTCTGGCCACTGCTGAGTTTTCCAAACTTGCTGGCATATTGAATGTAACATGTTAGAGTTTTCCAAACTTGCTGGCATACTGAGTGTAACATCTTAGCAGCGTCATCTTTTAAGATTTTGAATAGTTCAACTGGAATGCCATCACCTCCACTGGCCTAGTTGTTAGCCATGGTTTCTAAGGCCTACTTGACTTCACTCTCCAGGATGTCTGGCTGAAGGAAATCCAGATCTTTCTGATATAATTCCTCTGTGTATTCTTGCCACCTCAGACATACAGTAAGAAAATCTAAAATACAGTACAGTACTTTATTTTTTTGTACTCTTTCAATCAGACATACAGTAAGAAAATCTAAAATACTGTACTTTATTTTTTTTTTTACTCTTTCTCTAGTAAATATGTTACAATACTGAATGGTATTTAGCTTTGTGAGTGTCACTGAAACTATGTAAATAATGTTTTTACTTGTCTGTAAAGACAAATATTACTTTGAAAGGTATTGCCCAAATTTGCAGTTTACAGATTATGTAGAAACCATATATTCTACAGGATTTGATTGGAATCTAGCTTGTCAACGTGTAACATAAAAGTTACATAGGTGGAACATTGCTGGGCATTATGTGCAGATAACACAGATTGCCGAATTGGTTGCACAGTTCCCATTGTGACCAATTGTATATTGTACTTATAAGGTAAGGGTTTTCAATCTAGCCAAAGTGAAGCTTTAAATCACATGGACTTCAGTGGACAGAGAAAATTCTGTCATCAGTTCTCTTGCATCGAAATCAGTGAAACTAAATTAACTTTAACTAGGTTATCTCTTAATTTTTATTTTATTATTTATCATTATTTATTTGATTTATATACCGCCCATCTGGCAGCTAAGGCCACTTTTTGTGTTGACATGTTAATTTGTTAAATGTTTTTACAGAGCCAGGCAAAATCACTTGCAGAACACAAAAGGTTTCCTTTTGCCACAGATGATGACAATACAAATGAAGAATTAGGTAAGATCAGAGTTTCTTATCCAAGTGGGGATAATAAGGGAAGTCATCAAATGGTTTGTGTGCACCTCCCTGCCTTGTTTTGTAGATTTAAAAAATTCTCCTTAATTTACAGTACCCTTGAGGATAGAGTACACCAGAGAAGTTAGGAGAAGCCCAGTAGTAGTAGAAATGTTTAACAAGTTATGAAATGATGTCTTCTTGAAACTTGGTTTTTCAATACTCTTATTCCCTTTTCAGCTCTTTGGGGGATATTGAACCATTCTTATATGTATGACAAAAATTGACTTCATGGAAATTCGATTCAGTAACGCAGAGCGTTCTTTTTACAGCTATCGCTTATGTGTTGATTAGCAGTGGCCTGTATGATGAAGCCATACGACACTTCTCAACAGTGCTTCAGGTAAGCTGTCATTCCTTTTTACCATTTTTATTTTATTTTATTTTATAAAAGAGCTTCCCAAAGCATGACGCCGGTCTTCCTAGAAAAGGGTCCCAAAAAGGACAAATTTTTCTACCTGCTTGCATTGCCTAAAACACAGAAGGAGGATTACAGATGGGACCTTCAGTTTGACATACAGAAGGGAGACAGAACTCACTGATGACAGCAGGGATGTATTCTCTCCAGCATGAGAGATTGTGTGATGGAGTGGGGGAACAGCTCATATGTAGATAGAACAAGAATAGCCCTGAGAAAAAATTAAGGAAATGTTTTTACTTAATTTTTCCTATTGTTCCCTTTAATGAGAACAATAGAAAATATTTTTGTATTGTGTAAATAGTAACACTTACTTTAAGCAATGAGACACTTGATTACACCTTAATACAAATGATTCATCCTCATCCATGTGGTGAGTTCAGATTTAGCTGACATTTTAATTTTTTCAGTCTAATTGCTTGTGGCAAGGAAGTACTGCTTCCAAGTATCCAGCCAGGGAAAGCTGTCACACTCTTCTCTTATGGACTAAAAACTTTGATGAATTTGTATACAAGGCTGAGTTGACTGGCAAGTATTTATTGAGCATTAACTTGGTGCGAAGCTGTAAACTATTCACAAATAAATCCATTTATAACTATTCAAAATTGTATATGTTGAGAATATGTTTAGTTATTCCACTGGACATATAACCATATTAGTAAATCTTGCCTTCAGTTGTAGAGTTCATGTCCAAAATCCTGTTGCTTGGCATAAGTGAAATCATGCCTTCGCTGCAGTACTTGGGATGTGCACTCATTCTGGCTCGGTGTGTGTGCTTGTGTCCCCTGAGAATTGTAGCTAGGACACTGTTTACCAGGGAGGAATGGACCTAAAGTTCAGTTTGGCTTATATTAAGAAGCAGATTTTTGGCCATTGAGTTACAGTAGTGGGATTTTCTCTGTCACTATTAAAATACATCTTCCATGCTTGATTTCAGAAGTTCAGAATCCCCCTCCCAAAAATGTTAGATTGAGAGGAAGACAGTTACAAACGTTATCAGTTTAAGTGGATATAACTTGGCAGAATTTTATATATAGCTTCTTGGAAAAGTTGTTGATTGCAGAATATAATTAGGCCATCATGTTTATTCTGAATTGCAAACAGAACTCTATTGTAAAAAGATCTCTTTAGAGTAGTGGTCCTCAACCTTGGGCCTCCAGATGTTCCTGGACTTCAATTCCCAGAAATCTTGGCCAGAAGAGGTGGTGGTGTAGGCTTCTGGGAGTTGTAGTCCGAGAACATCTGGACGCCCAAGGTTGGGGACCACTGCTTTAGAGCTTTGAACTACAGAGCTGGAAGGGACCCTATAGCTCATCAAGTCAAGCCCTATCAAGGATGCACAGTGGGGAATCAAACTCCCAACCTCTGGCTCTGCAGCCAGATATTCTTGCAAACAGAACTCTATTGTAAAAAGATCCCTGTAGATCTTAGAGAGAGCTTGGAACTACAGAGCTGGAAGGGACCCTATAGCTCATCAAGTCAAGCCCTATCAAGGATGCACAGTGGGGAATCAAACTCCCAACCTCTGGCTCTGCAGCCAGATATTCTAAAACACTGAGCTATCCAGCTGTTCAAAGCTGTAACGAGTTTTGATAAGTATTAAGTTCTTTGCTCAACACTTGCTGCATCCCCAAACCAGATTTAGCATGCTGTATATTAGCCACAAATAACAAAAGATCTTCAATCTCCTCTGTCTGAGCAGCTATAGCTGGCACACATGCAGTGAGTCGATGCAACTTTTTTTTCCCAATCATAACAGCTAGGTTTCATTTTCTGCATTTGGAAGATATGAACAGGATGCCTAGAGAGGTGAGAGCCACCACTTGTGTCTTTGACTCTTGCCCTTCCTTGCTTATAAAAGCAGCAAAGGGTAGGAATGGCCCAATGAGTATGGGGTGAATGCTCCTTGTTACAATGCAGGGTTCCATTGAGCCAAAAGGATGCAATAACAAGAATACTGTCTCCTGTCTGTCCTGGAGAAGTGAGCTCAGTGCACTCTCCCTCATAATATTTAAAATGCATATGAAACTGTTGGGAGAGTTTTTGCAGAGTTTAAGAGTTTGGTGCCCCCAGTACTTAGAAGACCGCCAACTCTATCTCTCCTTTCCATCCAAATTTAAAGATACCCAGAACACCAGTGAATTGAATGAGGGTGAGCAAACCTAAGCATAATGCGGATAAGATGCTGGTGCCGTCAGTTGAAAAATAGATCGGGGAATAGAAATGTAACCTTGGCTCAGGTTTGCTGTTTAGGTGTGGATCCATCTAGTATACCAGCTGCACCGGTTCATGGAGGTGTCTAATCTAACTGCAGTGGCACTTGCTTGGATTTCTCCAATGTAATAGGGATGCCTTTGGGATATGTTCCAAAACATCAGTGAATCCATGCTACCACAGCCAAATTATTCATCAGAGCAGGTTATGAAAAGAACCAAAATTCCATGTTACAGTAGCTTCACGGCTACCGTCCTATTTCTGGATACAATGGAAAATGCTGGGGTTTGCCTCTTAAGCTCTATACAGCTTGGGTCTGGACAAGATGAAGGATCATATCTCCTCATATAAGCCCCTTCCTCCAGTTTTAAGCCATTTGCTTTTCTCTTGGTCAGTGCCCCCTTCCCGTGTACAGTGAGAACATGAGAGAAAGCTATTTCATTGGTTGCACCCAGGCTTTGGAACTCTCATTGCTCTCCATTCCATTTAAGGAAGGATTTTGTATTTTTAGCCTTTTAAAATACATTTTTAAATTGTGTTAAATGATTTTATTCTATTATTTTTAATATGCAGCATGTTTAATCACTTTTAATGTTGTAATTGGTTGTATTTCTAGATATATTTTCTACATACTTTAGAAGCCTTCTTGAAGCCCCTTCTTGGGAGAAAGGTGGGGTACAAATAAAATGAATGAATGTAGTTAGTTGCATTTCTCCCAGTATTTTTAAAAAGCGAGCTATACGATCTTCCATGTGACTTGAACACCAGTGTGTTCTCCTTGCGCTTGAACACTTCTTCTGAGAGCAGTTCTTTGTAGCAGTGATCTACACATTAATGTATTAAAATATGCTAGAATGATGTTCTAAATATGAGACATGAGGCTTTCAGCTGTAGCAAAGCAAAGAAACATCCTGAAATGAGCAGTTATCTTCATATAAGAAATATAGTCAGGTGTGTTCTCCTTGCGCTTGAACACTTCTGAGAGCAGTTCTTTGTAGCAGCGATCTACACATTAGTGTATTAAAATATGCTAGAATGATGTTCTAAATATGAGACATGAGGCTTTCAGCTGTAGCAAAGCAAAGAAACATCCTGAAATGAGCAGTTATCTTCATATAAGAAATATAGTCAGCTTAATACAGTGGACCCTCGACTTACAGACGGCTCGACTTACAGACTTTTCAAGTTACAGACTTCTCTGGCTGCAAAATTTAGATATGACTTGCAGCCGGAGAATCGACTTACAGACCAGAAAAAAACCAAAATGGAACAAAAATAGAACAAAAACTGCCAGTTATGGGATTAATCGGTTTTCAATGTATTGTAGGTCAATGGAGATTCGACCTACAGACTTTTCGACTTGCAGCCACCGTTAGCAGTCAGATTAATTCCGTAAGTAGAGGGTCCACTGTATGTAGCTGGGAAATAAAATGCAAAACCTAAACCACATAAATCCATAGCCAGTCCAACAGCAGTTTCTCTTTAAGCAACTTCAGTGCAAACTTGTCTTACTTTTTAAATGTGTACAGCTAAGAGTACAAAAAACATCTGATTGGAGACATGAATGGTTTGCATGTTTTTTGGCTTGTATTAGGTATGATGGCCTTTGGAAAAGTGCCATTCTATATTCAGTCTAGTTCCCTCGAATCTTCTAAAGATAATTTTCATTTTGCTCTGAATAGGAACAGCCAGAACTCATTAGCGCAATTTATGGACGAGGCATAGCATATGGAAAGAAAGGGCTGCATGTGAGTATCTAATATTTCTGAAACTGCGTACAATTGTTATATTACTAGCATCTATGTACTGTATGTATGAGCAGATTCAAGATAAGTCCAGATCAATTGAAGCATTTAGCTCTGTGTTTCTGTTGATTAAAAGTATTATCTAAATCATATCTCAAAGTCTTTGATTTACAATAGTTTGAAATCTATTTGGGAGTTCACAATATTGTTGAAATATTCTGGTCATCACTCTTCTAATTAATATTCAAGCCTTATGTAGCATGAATTAGCAAAGGGGGGGGGGAACTAGGTGGCACTATTTGCATAGCTGGCCTGATGCAGGTACAGGAGAAAATGCAAATGTTAGCATAAAGTTATAATGAGATTTTATGGAAGCATAATCTTTGGTCTTGATGCAAATTTGTGTTGCTGGTTTTCTCACAGTTGGAATGTTGTAGTGTGTGTAGTTGTGGTTCCCATTCTTCAAAAACTATACAGTATTGCAGAATTGGAAGAAATATGAAAAAAGGCTATCAAAATTATCAACGGGTTGGGATAGCTATCATAGGACGAAGGATTACAGTGGCCAAGATCCTGTTGCTTTCTGCAGTAAACTGCTCTAGAATGGATCTGTTGAATGAATGGGGATCTGATAAACCAAGTCTTCCATAAGTTCCATTGATTCAAGTTAGATGGCTTTGGACAAGTTCTTAGGGCAGCTCTTTATTCTCATTAGTATAACCAGCTCTAAAGAACATTACAGACACAAGAGAGAACCCAGTGTGTGCTCCTCACCTGCCAATAAAACACATCATTGTTAATATTTAACAATCTAATTGAAGGATAGACAGTGGGTAAATGAAGGGCCCTGGCTTCGATTGGTTGTGGTAGAACAGACTTGGAGCAGCATGAGAAACAGATTTCTGCATCAGGTGACCCACCTGCTGGCCAATGCACATCGTTGATGGGTAATCAAGGATTAGTAATCAGAGTTGAGTATACTCCCAGGCACACAACCAGTAGGGGGACCCCTCAATACCCATAGGGGGCATCCCAGAGTGGGCATGCCCTTGTTAACTTCCCCTATCTTGGTTCCTTATAGGGAGATCCCAAGCCTCAAATAGGGCCATCCGCCTCACTAGAACCATTGATTCAAGTTAGATGGCTTTGGACAGTTCTTTGGGCAGCTCTTTATTCTCATTAGCATAACCAGCTCTAAAGACCAGTACAGACACAAGAGAGAACCCAGTGCGTGCTCCTCAAATAGGGCCATCCGCCTCACTAGAGATAGGCTCCTATGCACAGTACCACCATCTGCTACAGCCAAGAGGCTGCAACAAAGGTTTACTGACATTCTAAGCTATAATTAACTCTTGCCCATGACATCATCACATCAGTGCAGCTAACTGAAAACTATACAGATTACTTTTTAAAAGGGAGGGAGGGAGAGAAGATGAAATCTCCAAGGAGATTGGCTGGAGGAGAGCTGGGAGCTCCTAATATACCTCTCTGATGGACTAGAGTGGAGTCTGCCTCCTTTCAGTCCGTCAGGAGGTTCCTTCCCCCCCCCCCCCNCTGAATGGCTGGGTTTTCTGCTTGCCTGATTGGGTAGATTTCCCAGCCAGCTTTCTTGCAATTGGCTCTTTTGATCCCTTCATATGTTGACCTCAGATCCATGCTCCCTTGGCCCAGGGAACCTGATGGGCACTCTTTGCACAGCCAGGACCCAGGCAAGAGTTAACTGGGGGACCCTAGCTTTTCAGCTAATAGACATATTGTCCACAGGAGAAAATCAGGAAAGACTGGTGCTAACAATAAGCAGATTTTTTTCTATCCTCCTTCCCAGCTGCAGTAACCATTTCTTCCCAGTCTTATGATTGCCTTGTCTTGTTTGAAGAGAGAGATGTGAGACATGCTAAAAGTTAACAAAGCCAAAATTAATATGATAGAAATGACAAGAAGCAATTCACGACATCTCCCTTGTTTCATATCCTTACACAGAGACCTGACTTTCTTTCATTATGATTGATCAGGGATGAGCAGGAGACTCTTACTGTTCAGAGCAACTAGAATGAAGAGAATGGATTATAGCACCATTGAGATGGTGGGGGATGAAGAAATAAGACTGTGCCGGTCTTCGAGGCAGCTGTGAACTTAGGAATTCACAGCTGCAAAGGTAGCTCTCTGAGTAGACAACTTGCAAGTCCCATTCATTGCTCCCTCCCAACAACCAGCAGTAACTAAATCAAGATAAATATTGGAGAGCTACTGTGTCCAAAATATTGTAGAGAATTGATGATAAAGAGCAGTCTCTGACTTTCAGTCTTACCATCACTAAGCAAATCGGTTGTTGAACTATCTTTGTGGTATCAAAAGCACATTTCTCTTGGCACATCAACATATTACAAGATGAAAGCAATTGGGTTGATCATTTGTCTGTGTGGCATTCAAACACTGTGACTGACCTCACTTTGACAAGAGATGCATTGATGCTTACTGTAACGGAATGCAAAACAGAATGCAAAAAGGTGACGTCATTCCTGCCTGTCCATCACAGCTTCTAAGGGGAAGTTAGGGAGTTGGAGAGACAGTTAGACAGTAGGAGTTAGAGAGAGTTAGAGAGTACTAGGGACAGCTGAAGATGTGGAATGAGATTTAGGGTTAGGAGAACGAAGGAGAGGGTTAGTGAATAGATCTAAGGGGGTTAGGAGAGGAAATTGAGAAGTTTAAAACACGTTGAACAAGCAGGAATGAATGTATAAACACTACCTGAGAGGTATTGATTGAAAGCATACAGCGGTTCAGAATAAAAGATATTGACTACATGATCTAATATGCATTACACCTGAACCAGTTCTATTGTGATTTTCCTTTTGATTTGTTCAATAATAAAATACTACTTAATTAAAACCCCTGCTTCCTAAGTTATATGACCCTTTGGGTTGGTAGCACCTGTGTGGGACATAAATTGGTATTAGGAGAATACCTGGTGGCAGCGAAAAGGGCCTGTGTACCTTTGTGAGGCCCAAAGAAATAGGGGCAACAAAGGGTTGATCGCCACACTTACATATGTTATTTTTCATTTTTAAGGATTTAAAAAATGCAGAGCTTGCTTTATTTGAGCTAAGCAGAGTAATTAGTCTGGCACCAGATCACCCAGAAGTATTTGAACAGCGAGCAGAGGTAATTTTCCTCCTTGTTTAAGGGGAAAACATTATTTCAGTATTTCAGTTATTTATATCAATTTGACTTTGAATGGGATATGAGAGTTTTTCTTTTTTGTTTGATTATATGGTATGTTTATATTTATATTTTGCAAACCACCACAAGTAATGATTTCACTAAGCCAGGTGGTCTATAAGCTAAATAAATAGAACATTTGTTGAGCTCAGCTCAAGTAAATATGTGAATGTTACATATTGTCATCTAAAGTTGTCGTGCAAAATTAATTACTTATACTTGCTAGACTGAAATAGTATGTTGAATGTATAGATCCTGTCGCCTCTGGGTCGCATTAATGAAGCCTTGGCTGACCTCACAAAAGCCATTCAGCTGAAGCCCTCAGCTCGACTTTACCGGTACAGAGGTACTCTTTACTTCATATCTGAGGTTAGTTTTCAGTTAGACAGTCCAAGTGAGTGAGGCAGACCAGAGCTTAAAGGTGGTGGTCCTTTTTAAAAATAGTTGCTGTGCTGGGTGGGTTATTCTGGGAACTGTGATTAAAAGAAGGATCTTTTCCAAGCTCTGGGTAGAACTGGGGTCTGTTCTCATAGAAAAAGAAGGAAAGAAACATCCACATGCATGTTCCAGTGAGTTTAAATCCTTTGAGGGGACTCTTGAATGTTAGTTCTCAAACTGCTATAAAAACCCTGTTGCAAGTTGTGTTGAAACACAAGATCCCCACCTTTGCAGCTGGAGGTTTCTTCCCTTCTCTATGTGATTGGTACCTTCCCAATCTTTTTTTAAATGCATTCAATCTAATGGGCCACATTTGAAATGTACCATAATTTTACTGAAGTATATATATATTTAGGACACACAGTTTGGGTGTAAGAACAGGCTTCCCATTTCCCTATTCTTTTCTTGTCTTATAAATGATGCCAGCTCATAGGAGTTATGCAGGAGACTGCTTGAGGAAATGGGATATTTTAGACTGTTTTTACAGAAAAAGTGTAAAAAGGTATTTATTTAAGTCATAATAATTGTGCAAAAAAGTAAGGTTGTTATTTGTTTAATAAATTATGATTGTTATACTCCATATCTCCATTAAAATGTTCTAGGCAGTTTATAAAACTGTTGCTATATACATAAAAAAACACAAATGTGGTATTTTCCAGAGATACTGCTCTGTAGCTTAGTTCAAAGTATTGTTTCTTCAGAAATATAAGGAATACAGTAGCTGGTATCTGTCAGGGCAGCCAGTTACAGAGATGGGTGTTAACTTGTCTATCCAGTTTATTGAGTTGCTATAATTGTAGGCTAGAGTTTCTTTCAGGACAGATGGAGCATGCTTTCTTTTGCAGTCTCATCCTGTGCATGCTGATAGGGGTCTCAGTCTCCATGAACATCTAGGCTTGCAGCCTGATGGTGCTGCCTTTTAAGTGTGTCTTTTCAGAAGCAACAACTACTATATTCACTGGGGTTCATTAGCAAGTGAACATATACTGTACTTAAGCTTTTAGCAGGTTAAAGTCTGCCAAATTAGTGTCCATTTGGCTTCCATTTTGTCTCGAGAATTTCAAATTTTATGAAAGGAACAGTAATATGTAACTGTGCTGTGATTTGTTTTGCCTCTGTAAATTGGACCTACTAGTTTTCTTTGCCTGACGGAAGCTGTTTTTGTGCAATAGGACTATGTAACAGCCCATGACGACTTTCAAAACTCCCTTGAACTAAACAGAAACCAGCCTATAGCTATGCTTTACAAAGGTTTGACATTTTTTCACAGAGGGCTTCTAAAGGTAATTATTTTGAATGACTGGAATTTCCTCCATATATGTTTGCAGAAAAGCATAACGTTGCAACTAACAGAATTTGCTACGTCAGTCTTTTCTCCGTCAAACTTAACAGTTTCATCTCACTCAGTGTTGATTGTTGTGACTGTCACAGCTCTGCCTAGGCTGTTCATCCATAGCCTAGGCAGAGCTCTTTTGCTAGCCTTGCTACATGAGGTCATTCTAACTGGAGATGGCAGAGCCTGAACTTAGGCCTTCCTGTATGCAAAGCACATGTTCTGTCTTTGAACTGTGTCCCTTGTCCAGTGTTTTGTATTCACATACTATCTATAGCAGGGGTCGTCCACCTCTGGTCTGTGGCCCGGTGCAGGTCCTTGGACTTGCTGGAACTGGGCTATGGAAACGGATCTCTGCCCCCCCCCGCACATGTAGCTCACTCCCCCAGCTGCTCCGTGGCCCCAAAAAATTTGGGAACCGCTGATCTATAGGGATTGTTCTCGTGATTTTACCAGCTGAGGCCAGTGGCCTAAGAAAAGAAGTGTAATGTGTTTCCTGCTGTTTCTCATTTCCCACTTATCTTTCCCAAGGCATTTTTATTTTCATTTCATTATTTCAATAATCCATATTTGAGTTTTAGATGTTTGGTGAGTTTAGTAAAATGCCATCAGTGGTTTTCTCCTTGCAAACCACTTACATTCCATTTTTTTGTGTAAAAAAAATGTTTCAACAATGTAATTAGGAGGATTCTGTTAGGTGTCACACAGCTTGAAAATGAGACCTTGTAAACCTCTCCATAATCCATTTCAGGATTTTTTTTCACTAATTATTCCATGCCTGAGGTATTTCATGGTAGCTTTTTAATAGCATTCATTTTCTATATTTTCACAGTTGACCTTATCTCTATTTGAGTGTCTGAGATATATCATCTAGATACCCTATAGGTATCTGCACTCTTTCTCTCCTGTCTGATTTTCTTTCTTTGATTTTCTTTCTTTGTTGCTTAAACTTTAGAGCAGATACTAGTACGATACTCTATTAAGCAACACTAGGGTGATGCTCTGTGTATATGGGTGATAATAAATTAAGCTTTGAGATATTATCTATATAGTTTTAAAGGAAATCTTTGCAGATTAAGTTTATTGATGTTGTTTCGAATGGTATACTGCTCCATAGCCCAAATGCACTTTCTGGGCAGTTTATAACATAATTATACAAACAGCAACTCCCCCCTCCCTTCCAGTGAGCTCAGTACTCATTTTACCAACCATGAAAGGATGAAGGCTAAGTCAGCACTGAACTAGCTACTGGAGCCCATCAGAATCAAACTCAGGTCAAGAGACTTCCGGCTTGACGTCGCGACGAGACAGCAGCAGGAGGACAGAGCTCTGTCCCCTGGGCTGAATTCTGACCCATTTTGGGACACCGCAAGGTGTCGGAACCACCCTGGAGGGGTGGTGAACTGGGGGAGAAAGCTTGTTGATTACGGGGGGCGGTGGCCACCCCGGTTCGATCCAGGAAACTCCCTAATCAGCCAATGGGCAGAAATAAGCAGCTTTGGCTAGCTTCCAAGTCGCTGGCAGCCGTCTGAGAGAAGCAAGGAACAGCACCCGGCATCGCTGTTTTTCCATCGGGTGAGAATTCTTTTGCAACTAATTGCCTACGTACCCCTATATATGGGGAAAAAAAGAATTGCTATCTTATCTCAGCAACTCTTTAAAGCGGCAGAAAATCTGGTGAGAGGGATAGCTGAAGAAAGTAACTTTTTTTAATTACACTTTAAGAATATTTACAACCTGGCGTTATAAGCTTAAGAGACCTTCCTGCAAATTAAGTGTGGACATTGTTTTGTCTATCTAAAGTGTTTGGAATGATTCCCAGAAGAGGTGGCCTTGGACATTCTGTTGTTGCTTAAGGCTGAAAAACTGTTTATCTCCTCGTGAGCTTCTCTTTGCATTTGGCCGGAATTAACCCTAAAGTGGACTTTTCAAAAACTGTTCCTTGGGTCGAATTTGGTTCAACTCTACATAGCCAAAGTGGAACTCCTGAAATGACTCTGGAAATTTGGAATATCTGTTTATAAGCATCTAGGCAGCAGAAACAGAATGGCACAACAAGGACAATTTTGGAATGAAGTAAAATTTATGCTTCAACAAATATTAACGACCGTGACATCTCATTATGAAGAGGCAAAATTATCCAATCAACATCAGGACTATAGTCCACAAGCAACTGAAAACAACAAGGAAGGAAATGGGAGTATCACAGATGATGCATGCCAAACCAAGCAGCAGCTTGAGAAAGTTAATCTAAGAGAAACATCAGTCTTGGACCAGAGGAGAGTACCAAGGGAAGACAAATGGGAAAAAACAGCAAAATTAACCAAAAAAAGCATGGAAGACTCATTGAAGATAGACCAAGTACAAAAAATAGACATAAATCAGATCTACAAAATGGTTTTAGAGGACATGAAAGATGACAGCATGTTTAGAGATATAGCAGGGAATGAAAAAAGAGGAACCAGAGAGGGAATTACCTAGAAAGATGAAAAAAGGGAAAACAAGGAAGGGCCCCTTAATATTGGAAACATGTTTATATTTATCATTTGGATCTGTAAAAGGGTATATTCTATATATTAAAGGGGGGACTAAATTGAAATAAGGGAGCCCGAATCAGGGTAAAGATGTAATATGGTGACTTTTTATTTTTATTTTAGGTAAACTAAACTAGATATAAAGCTGGGTCATGGATCTGGAACCACTTTCAATAAGAATGTTATTAGAAGATCTTGAGAACTTTATATAATATGAGAGTAATATTATGATAGTAGCTATACTATATACTAAAATCTGTATATGAATGGTTTGAAAGAAGGTCGGAATTTGGGGGGGATAATCGAGAAGACACTGAGATGTAAAAAACAAATAATTGTAAGCAAGTATGTAACACGATGTCTGATAAGCACAAACAATGTAGATAGATTGGAAAATTAATTAAAAAATGTTAAAAAAAAGAATCAAACTCAGGTCATAAGCCAAGGCTTGACTGCGGCACAGCAGTTTAACCACTGTGCCCCCATATCTCTTACAGATTTCACACACACCGATGTGCTGCCTTGCATTCGTTCATCCAAGCCGTTGTCCATATCTTCTGTAAATTTTTCACAGGGTTATCCTGAAACACAACAGGAGTACTTAATTGCAACAGAAATAATTAACAATATTTAATTATTATGTTTGATGTAGGAAGCTATTGAATCATTCAAAGAAACCCTAAAGCAGAAAGCAGATTTTGTAGATGCGTATAAAAGCCTTGGGCAAGCCTATCGGTAAGCAACTTCAACATCACATTTTTATTCCACTGATTTGCTCTCAGATATGAATTCGGGGGTGGGAACTATATGAGAAAACACTCACAATATAAAGAAGGGCTGTTTTCACAGCTGGGCTGCTAAATGTCTCTGATGTCACCACAGTTTTTACATAAAACATTTATATTGTGAGATTGCAACTTATTTCAATAATTTAATGGGGAAAAGTATTTCTAAGGTGCTTCAGAAGTAAATATACTTCCTTTGGTTAAAATTACTTTGCAGTTTTGAAGACATGTTCCTAACATTTGTTTTGTTATTAATGTTTTAAATTCATAAGATTAGCATTGCAGTCTGATGCAGTCTAATCAGAAGTAAGCCCTGTTAAACTGAGAACTAATTACATCCATAGAACTACTTAGAAGTAACTGTGCATAGTAATGTAGTCATAATGAGTCACAAATTTATGACTGAACCTATCTGTGAAATCATAATTTTAGAGCTTGCTTTAATCAATATAAGGTTAACTAAAAACAGCTTTGCCAGATGAACATTCTATTTCATTGTTGATTTTTGCTGTACATTTATTACTTTCTGGCTTTCATTAGAGAGTTGGGTAACTTTGAAGCTGCTGCTGAAAACTTTCAGAAGGCATTAATGCTAAATCAAAATCATGTTCAGACAATACAGCTTGGGGGAATGTTGCTGTATCACCATGGAAACCTGGATGAAGCTTTGAAGAACTTTAAGGTAAGCATTTATTCAGCTGATGTACACTATGAAGGTTGCATTATATATGCTAAATAAATATGAAGAACGCAAGCCAAGGGTCATCAAATCCAACTCTAAGCAGGACATCAGTAGATAAAACATTTCTGATAGATGGTCAACCAGTTTGTGCTTAAAAACCTTCAGTAAAAGAGAATCCAGCCCCTTCCAAGGTAGTCAGTTCCACTATCAAACAGCTTTTACTGTCAGGAAGGTCTTCCTAATGTTTGAGCATTTTGTGGGCGTGGCTTATCAGACAGCTAGAAATCCAGCTAACAATAGCATCATCTAGCCCACATTTTACCAGTATGGCCAAAAAGAATATTGTTAGGGACCTTGACAAAAGCCTTGCTGAAATGAAGACAGAACGCCTCAACAGCATGCCCCATCTACAAATTTGTAACTCTCTTGGGAAAAAAAGATTTAAAAAACATTAAATAACAGTTTAGTAATCTGTTCATTATATGATGTAAAGGAGCATTGGGGTCTCGCACTTCTCTTTCCTTCAGCAGAGTGCAGGAGGTTAAGAAAGTCTTTCTTAACACAGTTTATTGTCATCTCACTGACAAACTGTGGCTTATGTTAACAATGGTTTGTTTGAAACAAGCCACTTTGAAACTCTCCTCTGCCATAACTTCTACTTAGATGTGAGTTCGTTAGGAAATCATTCTTTTTCTTTCTACAGCATGTTTGGTATGCTTTGGCATACTCTCCAGCTTCTGGCTTTGTGCTTGTATAGCAGAGCATTACCCCATTTGTGTTTTTTCTTGGAGGCAAGCCAAGACCTTAGAAGGATATTAGGTGACCTCCTTGCAGGCCTTGGGTTCCTTATGGCTAAAGTGCTATGTACGTTGAAAGCTGGAGCCTGAATGAGGTCCTGAATTCAGTTATGTGCCTGAGGTTCTCTATTTCTGGAAAGAGGAACCTGTCAGTTGCTACTAAAAAAACAAAGTCAGGTAGCATTACAAAGACCCACATGTTTATTTTGTTATACGCTTTTTTGACTAGAGTGTCTCCAAAGCATGCCCCATCTATATATGCTTTATATTTTATCCTCAGTAGGAAGAAGGACCAAGCCTATGCTAAGGAAATGAGTTAAAAATAACAATGTCAGTTGCAATAACAACTTTGTACAAATGTAGGCAATTCTGTGTACACATCTTGTTGCTTTGTTTCATTAGATTGGGTGAAGGTTCAGGAAAGGACAATCAAAATTACTGAACTGTTGAAACACCTTATCTGAGATTTGGGATTCCTCAGTTTAAATTAGAATACATGAGCCACTAAAATAGTTTGATATGTTTCAATCAGACAAAAGAAATTACTTCATATACTGCAGAATTAACTTTGGATTTGCTTCCATAAGATAAGGTGCAAATCATACTGACTTAAAGGAAAATCAGGTACTTTTATGATAGGATAAGGTTATTACAGTCGTGCCCCGCTTTACAATTGCCCCGCATTACAACGAAACCGCATTACGATGACATTTTTGCAATCGCTTTTGCGGTCGCAAAACAATGGTCTGAATAGGGGTTTTTCGCTTTGCGATGATCGGTTCCCTGCTTCGGGAACCGATTCTTCGCAAAACGACAATTTTCCTACAGCTGATTAGCTGTTTCAAAATGGCCGCCGGGTAAATAAAATGGTTCCCCGCTGTTTTCTGGGATGGATTCCTTGCTGCACAGGCACCGAAAATGGCTGCCCTATGGAGGATCTTCGCTGGACAGTGAGTTTCCAGCCCATTGGAATGCATTGAAGGGGTTTCAGTGCGTTTCAATGGGCTTTTTATTTTCGCATTATGACGTTTTCGTTCTACAGCGATTTTGCTGGAACGAATTAATGTCGTAATGCGATGCACCACTGTAATTCTATCATGAACAGGTGGAATTTTCATTCTCAGAGACAGTAGGCTGGGGATAAATGGGGATAAGCCATTGTTTTCATGCTCTCCTTTGAAGCCTTCTGTAGGTTATATTTCCCAGAGTTTGGAAATATTACTCTTCAGGAGTAAGCCTGGATGATTCTGAGATATGTATACTTTAAAAAATAAATGACAATAAATCAAGTGCTGCATTTGTTGCAAACAGGATGATGACCTGCCCTAGAAGGACCCTTCATCTGATCCAGCACATCTCTTCTTATGCTGCTAGGATAAAAACTTGTTTGCTCTGAGCAAGCCTGTATTTGCTTATAGAAGTTATAATCATGAACTATTTTGTGAAGATTAGATGTTACCTTGTAATTAAAGAGGAGGTTGCTTGGAATAGCTTTCACAGAGAAAAAGGAGCTTGAGTCACTTTCCTGAAAAACATAAGTCATGTGAAAAAGAAAATACACCCCCTTTGAATTCCATGGTTTTATGTATCAGGACATAAGAAAAATCATCTGGTCCTTAGCAGGTCTGAAAATTAGGTAAATGCAACCTCAGATGAACAACACCACATGACATTTTACACCATGTCATGATTTATTTTACAGAAATAAAGACAAAATGGAGATAAGCAAAATGTCCTGATAAGTAAAACCATAGAATTCAAAGAGGGTGTACTTTCTTTTTCACAAGACTGTATGCAGGAATAAGAGCAAATATAAAGGTCTGTGAGTTTTATCCTTTTATCTAATACTTTAAACTATGCCTTTGATGTATTAGTTATTTCCTTTTCAATTTTCTAGAGATGTCTACAACTTGAGCCATATAATGAAGTGTGCCAATACATGAAAGGACTCAGCCATGTTGCCATGGGCCAGTTTTATGAAGGAATAAAAGCTCAGACTAAAGCTATGCTAAATGATCCTTTGCCTGGTCAGAAAGCTAGTACAGAGTATCTGAAAGTGAAATACCTCCGAGGTAAGTTGTAACTATTCAGTGTCATGTATTAAACTTTGCATCCAAAGACCCTAGATATCATCGAGTCCTGCCCCTCTCAAGGAGGCACAGTGGGGAATCAAACTCCTAAACTTTGGCTCCACAGCCAGATACTTAAACCACTGAGCTATTCAGCAGTTCTTATGAAAGTTCAAAATGCTTTTCCTAAGTCAACTTACCTGGCTCAGTTACTAGTACTAAGAGTTTTAAGCTAAAGTCTGCTGATACTTTGGATGCCATATTTTAGTCTTTGGCCTTACCATCTATTGGAATGTGCCCTCTAAGAATTTATTTGAAATTAAATTTGACTGTTCAGTTGCAAAAGGTCCCTCCTTCTTTGCTTAATGGTTTTAGTTGTGTAAATTCCTTATTTCACATAACTGAAGTGACAGAAATATTGGGGAAAGTCACCAGGAAGAACCCAGGGAGACAGAGACTTGCTAATTAAATATAATTAAATTATGTACTTGCTGGCTGGGTGTGAAGGCAGGATTAGAAATGGCACATGAATAAGGATTTGATGTGGCCACTGCAGTGCATCTACACATATGATATTTTATAGCAAATCACATGATTTTTTAAAAAAAAACTTGATAGTCCTTTAAGTTGATTTAGAGCAGAACAGCTGCTTAGTTATTTTTTTTCTTGGTTCACAGAATATTCTCGTTACCTGCATTCGCATCTTGATACCCCACTTACGGAATACAATATAGATACAGATCTCCCTGGAAAGTTTAAAGATCACTGGGCAAAAAATCTTCCTTTTCTTATAGAGGACTATGAAGAACAGCCAGGCCTACAACCACACATAAAGTGGGTGACCAGAACACGAGTTCTTGAACATGCTGTGTTTGGAATGTTTAAAGGCATAATTGTGAGCAGTCTACATATAGCAAAGTGTGCTGCTTATGTACTGCCCCATAGTGCTTAAAGCACTCTCTGGGCAGTTTACATTTTTTTAAAATTATAAAGGCTACACATTGGTTCCCCATAAGTGATATGGTCTTATAGTATGCATTTATAGCAGATTGAGTCTTTTCTTTACCTAAATCTGGGAACAAGTGCTTCAAATTTTACTTTTAATCTCTGCTCCATTTTGGAAGCATTTTAAAATAAAAAACAGTGTTTATAACTATCTCTTATAATACATTTTGGGTTTTTTAAAATATGGATGATGATACATGACTTCAGGAATCTTAAAGGAAGTGTTTGGAAAGTTACTTTTAAGACAAATGAATATAATTGTATGCTTAAGCCATCCCTACTTTCAAAGTAACTTTCAGAGCTCCAAATAACAAGAAGCTGGTGCACAGAGGTCTTATAATGGATTCACATATTATCTTCTCTGGTGCACAGAATTAATTGATTGATTGATTGTTAATTAATTAATTAATCAATTAAATCTACCACCCAATTAGTGGTGTACAAGCAAACAAAACCGTACCACAACCACCTACTTATTCCCATAATAACATAGGAACACTACTAAAATTAACATTACTACTACTACTTTCACAGTCTTTCAAATATTATGCTGTGATGTAAATTTAGATCCATCATTTGGCTAAAGAAAAGCATATTCAGTTATTTAATAGTGCTTACATCTGCTGACAGTTGTGATTAGGTAAGCAGAAAAGAATCTGAAAATGCTGATACCCTGCCCCCTACTAATGAAAGCATCTCTGTTGTGCTTTTGAACAGATTTTATTAGACTGTTTTTATTAGCCTGTTATCAGTTATTCGCCCAGAGGGTACATAGGAGTTATCTTGGCATTCTTGCTGAAAGAAGCAGCTGAATACTTCCTTGGTTGTTTGGGGACCAGCGTTCCTTCTCCTGTCATTTTTAGGCCCCATTGGTAAAGAAATAGCCAGTGAATGCAGTAGTAAATTTCCAAAATATAGTTACTGAGTGTGTGTATGTATAATGAGTATATTAAATGAGTACAATGAATATATTAAAGAAGCATGAATTGTTTTTGAACCTCCTAATACAGCAATCAGTATCTTAAACCTAGTTATGTATGTACAGTGGTGCCTCGACGTACGACCATTTTGAGTTACGACCAGCTCCGGCCGCAAAATTTTGACTTGCAGCCGGAGCTTCCAGTTACGAACACAAAAAGGCAGGAGAAAAGGCGGGAGATTCAAATTGCTAACGGTGGTGAAGAGGCTGCTTCTTTGTAGCTCTTTCGCCCCAGCAGCTAGAGAGTGTGCGTTTGGAGGAGGCTTTGGACTGCTTGGTAAGGTAAGGTGTTGCTTTCTGCTTTTAAAAAAACTGTTCTGGGTGGGTTTTGCAGCGTGGTTTTGGGCTAGGGGGGTTATCTTTCTGTGCTGTGTTGGATCTTGGGGGGTTTGTTTGTTTTGTTTTGTTTTTTCCATTTCCAATAGGTCTTGGGGGAGTTTGGTTGCTTTTTGGTTCGCCCCCCCCCATTTCTGATGGGTCTTGGGGAGGTTGGTTGCTCTTTGGAGGTTTTTTCTCCATTTCCGATGGGTTTTGGGGGGCTTGGTTGCTTTTTGGTTCCCCCAAATTTCCAATGGGTCTTGGTGGCTTTGGTGGCTTTTTGGAGGTTTTTTTCCACCATTTCTTATGGGTCTTGGGGGGTTTGTTTGTTTGTTGGTATTTTCCCCCCATTTCCAATGGGTTTTGGGGGGTTTCCTTGGTTTTTGGTTTTCCCCCCATTACCAATGGGTCTTGCAGGGTTTGATTGCTTTTTTGGGTTTTTTCCCCATTTCTGATGGGTCTTGGGGGGTTTGTTTGCTTTTGGGGGGGCCATTTTTGATGGGTCTTTTACGATCTGCTTGCTTTTTACTTTTTTGCATTTGCAATGGGTCTTGCACACATGATTGCTTTTTGCTTTGCTTTCTTTCCATTTGCAATGGGTCTTGATTGCTTTTCTCCCCCCTCTTCAGCCGGAAGGGATTAATCACCTTTCCAATGGGTCTTGCAGTGATTTTTTTTGGTGTTTTTTTTTTTCTGTGGCTGGAACGGATTAATTGCATTTCACTGCATTCGTATGTGAAATGGTGCTTCAACTTACAGCCATTTTGAGTTACAACTATCTTCTGGAACGGATTAAGTTTGTAAGTCGAGGCACCACTGTATATAAAATCTATGACTTAATAGGAGTACTGTACTATCGGTATTTAATGTCAGCTGTTTTCTACGATTTTAAGGGATGTGTTGCTTCAGAAATTTGAAAACTATAAGCCTGAAATACAAGAGATGATATGTACAGCTGATCATTTGGGTTCACTAATGCAGTATGAGACACCTGGATTTCTTCCAAATAAGAGAATACACAGAGGTATGTTGGAAAAATAGTCTGTATTTGGAAATACAGCGTTGCTTGCTATGGTTACACTTCTTATTTCTCAGTGCAGCTGTAAACATGCCTTCTTTTGATCTGTAAAATTGGAGTTCAGCTCATTTTACAAAAATGTAAATGTTTAACAAGCTGTTATTTATCATATCTGTAGAAACAGAGAGGCAGCCACTTCCAGTGATATTAACTAACCAGCCTTTAGAATACTGTCTGCTTTACTGTATTTCTTAAAGTACAATCCTGTGTACACTTAACTGGGGAGTAAGCATCTCTGAACAGAACAGGTCCTGTGACTGAGGACACATGCATGGGATTATACTGATAGTTTTGTTTCCTGAGGTTTTCCCCAAACGTAGACAAGAAGAATAAATATGCATGGGCTTAACTGAAGATGTGATTTGTTTGTTCAGCTATGGGGCTGGCTGCGCTAGAAGTAATGCAAGCTCTACAGCGTACATGGGTGAACTCGAAAGTGCGGATGAATGGGAAAACTAGGCTGATGCAGTGGAGAGATATGTTTGACATTGCTGTGAAATGGCGAAGGTAATAAAAGTGGGAATCTATTGAAGTGTTGTGGAAATTACATAGCTGCTAGTTCCTCTAATAAAGCCACTGCATTAGTCAGCCATAACATGAGCAGTAAGTGAGGTTTGTCTAAATAATCCAGAATCAATCCCCACTTGTGATTGTTGACACAAACAAAGTACAAGGAACAGAAATTATTAAGAGCAGAAACTGTGGAAAACAGATATAGTCAATACTTTACTGACGTATATAGTAAGCATCTGCAATATATAATAAGCATTAGGAAATGTAATTCTGTAAGTATAAAGACCCTCAGTATATTGAGATATAAGGAGAGGAGGCATAACATGTCAAAATACTGTACAATCTCTTAGTAGTGTTCCTGCTGCTTCTTACCATAACTCTTAACTCAGGTAAAGTGACAAGTTTTTATTATCTGAAATTCATAAAGTACATCTCCACATACAGAGACCCAGTTTTTATACCATTTTGATGTCTACGGAGTGCACTTCACATGTTGTCTGTTGGTCTAATTTTTTTCTTCTTCCAGAACAACTCCTCAAAATTATTACCACTAGATAAAAATTAATCTCTGTCTCTTAATAATTTCTACTTGGAAGCTTTTTTTTACATACAACGCTCATATATTCATCATTTCTATGGTTTTGCCTCCTGACTAGAATAGAAAAGTGCATTCTTAATTGCCTTAACATGCACATTCTATAGCCTGAGATTATTTGTAGTACTGCCTAACATTCAATTATGTGGCATGTTTGTGGACTTCCCATAGGCCGCTTAGGGAAACATAATTCTAGATTAGATAGGCCTTGAACTGATGTAAGAGATGAGCTCTTATGTTTTTACTTGTGCGGCTGATTATATCTTCTACGACTCAATACCTGTGAGCTCCAAAAATACACAATTGCTTTTTTTTCCCAATGTAATTTTGTGCAGGCAGTCCCAAAAGTTAGCACAACATTGGAGTTGAGAAACAATAATAATTTTTTTCCTTTAAAAAGTATAGTTAAATTTCATTCTGTATACCCAGTGAATCTGTGGGGAATGTTGACACAGTGCCTTTTTGCAGGCTAGCTGACCCAGACCAGCCAGTGCTATGGCTAGACCAAATGCCAGCTCGAAATCTTAACAGAGGCTTTAACAATCACATCAATCTAATCAGGTATGACACTGCAATAATGTCAAAGGTTGTGCCACAATCATCATAAAGAATCAGAATTCTTTATAATGATTTTTTATCTTTGCTTATATAAATCCTTTTTCTTTCAATGATTATTTAACATGTTTTGTCTTTCCCCACTATGTAACAAAATAGTAGTCTTATTGAGATAGTTCTCTTCCCACTCCTTTGAAGAGCTGGAATGGTGCATCTGTGTTAGTTTAGAATCAGAGGATCAATTTCCAAATCCTGATGCATTGCCTTCTCTTCCCAATTGAAGTACTTGTTTTTTTGCCATGCGGAAACCTGCAGCAGTTCCTGAACTATTAGCAGGTGTTTCCAGAACCTAACACATATAGTACTGTACAGAGAAGCCGCAGTTGTCTCATTCTCTGTCATGGGAAGGAGCACCTTCAAAGAGTAGTTCAATCATTGCTTTAAGTCTTTTCCTCATTACTACGAAACAGGATTGCATGCATGGAGCACTTGTAGTGGAATGAAGGCAAAGAGCATTGCAAAAAAAACATTTCCAGTCACATGGGTTTGATATATATAAAACTATATTATACACATATATAAAACATTTAATGTATATGGCCCTGCACCCACCCGATGCTATCCTGTAGTCAGACCTGGTCCCAGAAGCAACATTCCCACACACACACACAGAGCATGATGTCTTATTAGTTTTAATAGGACATGTGGGACTGTTGCTTCTCGGACCTGGTCTGACTACACAACCTCTTTCTTCTTGATAATCTTGACGTGTAATACAGTATAGTTTTTTGGCAATTTACTTTGGAGATGATGAGGAGAGTTTTCTCTGCCTAGTTTTAACCAAAAGTATCAGCCTTTCCAGAGAGAAAAATGGTATCCTTACATTTCTGTTCAGTCTGGCTAACTCAGTGGTTTAGGTATCTAGCTACGGGGCCAGAGGTTGGGAGCGGAAACCCCCTCTGTGCCTCCTGTGAGCAGATCCAGCCTGTGTGGCCTTGGGCAAGCTGCACAGTCCCAGGGCACACCCCAGAAGAAGGGAAAATTAAACCACTTCTGAGTATTCTCTACCTGGATAACCCTGAAAAAGGGTTGCCATAAATCAGAATTGACTTGACTGCACATGATTATGTTATTGTATGGATTATTTGGACCTTCTTTCCTCTTTCTTTTATTTATATTTACATCCAGATCTGAGTAAAATCAATCAGAATCATTCTTTCAAGGAACCAGAAAAGGGCAATTTCTTTTCCCCACAAATCCCTTGGCGCCCCTTGTTTGCTTAAGAGCGTTGGGAAGAGCCTTTGGAGTAGATATTTGGGGAGGCATAATTGGATGCTGCAGGGTCAGAAGACCAAGCAGTCGTAAGATCGAATCCACGTGACGGAGTGAGCGCCTGTCGCTTGTCCCAGCTCCCGCCAACCTAGCGGTTCGAAAGCATGCAAAATGTGAGTAGATAAATAGGTACCACCTCGGTGGGAAGGTAAACAGCATTCCGTGTCTAAATCACACTGGCCATGTGACCACGGAAAGATTGTCTTCGGACAAACACTGGCTCTATGGCTTGAAGAGCGGGATGAGCGCCGCCCCCCCAGAGGCGGACACGACTGGACAAAAATTGTCAAGGGGAACCTTTACCTTTACCTTTTTAATTAGATGAGAGGACTGCTACTAGAATGCTTGCAGCCTTGTTGTTAGATATGTTGTATATAACCTAGTCCCTGGAAAAGACCCCGATGCTGGGAAAGTGCGAAGGCAAGAGGAGAAGGGGGTGACAGAGGATGAGATGGCTGGACAGTGTCACCGAAGCAACCAGAATGAATTTGACCCAACTCTGGGAGGCAGTGGAAGACAGGAGAGCCTGGTGTGCTCTGGTCCATGGGGTCACGAAGAGTCGGGCACGACTTAATGACTAAACAAACATATAACCTAGCACATTCTTGTTAGATATGTAATAAATTTAACTGAGGAATTCTGCAGATTAAAAAAAAACAAATTAAACAATTAATAATAATTTGGGTAGATTACTCCTGTTGGTGTTATAAATTTTCTACCTTCCCACCACTTAAATAACATTCAGAAATAGAAGTTATAGGTCAAACTCATTCTTATTAGGAAAAAAAATGTCAATTTGTGCATCTAGGCTCTCAGCCCAAATGCTTGTGACAGGTAATGTTTTTGCAACACTCTGCTTTCATTCCTTCATAAGTATAGCTTGAAAAAACCTATTGTCAGGATAGAATGTATTTGATAGCCAGTGGTGAGATGTGATACATGTGGAAACTTATATTGGAACTGTGCTTTCTTTTCTCCTCCCTCCTACCCCCCCCCCATGCTATCCTGGATTTTTTGGCAAAGTGCATGGATAAATCAGTTGCACTGTTTTTCAACTTCTTATAGATATTATTTATGTAGGTTTTGCACAACAGAGTGTGCAGGTTTTAGAACTGTGCTTTTACTGAAGGTAATCAGGCTGAACTTTATCATATGCTGCTACATTATATACTACTGTACATTTAGTTAAGGTACACATCTTTCTTCAACAACACTGGGGTTAGGGATGCCAGATCCCCGTTTAGTTCAAAATCCGTATATAAGTCTTATGGCTCCCAAAACGTCACTACAGAGCATAAACAGCTGATTAATATACACACGCACACGCACACATACACAGACGTACATCCTTCTCTGATCCACACCAACCGCCTGGCATGCCCCAGCATTCTCCCCAGCCACCACATAGAGCCACCATGCTAGGAGAGGGTGCCACCAGCATCAGACTGGGGTCCACCACAGTAACAAGAACAGGTGCCTCACTAAATCTGAGACCCACCTTTCTCAAGTCACTTGCTAGAAACAAACAGCAGCACAGTATTTATTGAATATTTATTTATTTAATGAAATGTTTATTTAATTGTTTATTTATTGGGGAGAAACCCCATGTATAATCAAAACTCTGCTATTCAGACCCAAGCAAGGGTTAAGTGCAAATGGAATTCAGGATGAGTTACATGTGGCTGTATCCATTTACGTAGAACTACTATTGACAGTATGTTTTTCTGTCAACTGAACAGAAAGGGATATGATTTACCCTTCCTCACCTACAGCCTCTGCACCCTGTATAATCTGCTTCACAGGGTTGGGGGGTCTCTCTTGAGCTGAGGGGGATGCAAAGGGGAAGGAAAGCTCTTTTGCCTGGGCAGAATCCACTTGTGCAGTGTTGGATCTTGCCCCTTAGTAACGCTCTGTGATTGATAAGTAGTTTTATAACCAGGTATTTGCAGTTGTAAAGTTTGCTCTATAAAATTTTATTTTGTAGACTGTGAAACAAGAAACTACTTCAATAAATGCCTTAATGGCATATAGTTTCCCCCCTGGGTGTATGTGTATCTAACAGAAGTCTAGACATTGTTTTCCTCCTACATTTTTAAGCATTTACAGTCACATTAATAACATTTTATGGGGAAAACTAAAAATCTTGATATTTGTTTGCAAGTATTAATTATAATATCTAGGTATTATAATGAAGCTGAAATATGTTTGAATTGCATATGAGCAAGTGTAAGTCAATAGCCTTGTCTCTTCAAATGATTGACATGTACATGCACTTTCAATAAATCTTGCTTCATTAGAGGGAAAATATGAAGAACTGTGGCCAGTTAGTGTAACCAAAAATAAATGATAGCTGATACATATATGCATACTTAAATATCTGCACTTTTATCATGGATGTATAGTGTTGCATAGTTTAACTGTTCACGCTGTTTAGAATAAAGAGATAGCAATATAAAAGCGGGACCTAAGAACAATTGCACACATTTTCCTTAAGTCTCCTTTGCCTGTAAACCAGTTTCCCCAACATGATGCCCCCAGTTGTTTCAAATGATGCTCCTTGGATGCCTGGCCATGACTGGGGTAGGCGGAACCTGAAATTAAAAACATCTGGACAACACCAGTTGCTGTAGAAATATTCTTGATATTGAAGATCTGAAAACATTTTCATATATTCTGTACTTTTACTTCTAAATACTAAGAAGAATTTCTGGAATTTTTAAAATCTATGTAGGAAAATACACAAATTAAGAAAAATAATATCTAGGCAGTGCAGTTTCTAGTTGCAAGGATCCTTCTGTTATTCAGTTATGATCAGGTGGAAAATGTTCAATCAGGAGTGCAATCCCCAATGCATCTTTACTCAGTATGTTACATTGTTCCACATGCTCCATACCACATAGCAAGCACATTAAAGACTGGAGCCTTACAGAGTCATCTTAAGTGTCTGTGTGTGAGGGGATGTGTTACACAGCATTATAATGTGTGTGTGTGTAGGGGGCTATATCATTCATAGTGATGCAGATGGCATATGTCATTTCCCATTTCCCCACTAGGTCTCTGCAGCTGAGATAGGACAGGATGAGATTTCTGATGTTTTAAGTGAGGTCTATATTAGGATCTGTATGGGGTTCTTTCTTTCTTAAATTTCCTTATAATTGAATTCTATGCAAGGGAAATTAACTATGGTACGCTCACACTAGCATTGTTAAAGACCGTTCTCCAAGTAGATCCAAGGCTGGCCCCAGAACAACGATTTTGAGCCTTACCACCGACAGTGGCACCACTGATGATATTCTTGCACCGCCGGAGGTTTTCATGGGTATAATGCGGTCCTTTGGGTTAGATGCACTGTCCACCATGAATGCTGCTCTGTCAGTAGAGCAGTAGCTCTTATTGTACCCCTCAGCAAGAATGGCAGGTGCTCTGACCGCTGTTATATATCTTTTTCAGGCTGTGCAAGATCATCACAAGGCTTACAACTAACAACAGTGTATAAAGACAGTTTGTGCCTCTCCCAGAATACCTTCCCAAATATTATGCAGGCTTGAGTTTGTAAGAATTGAAGACCAAAGGCTGAAAACCATTGCTGTGCTATGCCCAGAACATTCTCAAGAGTTGTACAACAAAAGGATTGGTGTTGAAGGTGTTTCTTTAGCAAAAATATGTAGCTCCAGTGTCTTGCTATATAGCAGGGATTCCCAACAGTGGGTGCCCAGGTTTTCTTCAACTAGAGCTCCCAGAAATCCTGGTCAACACAGCTGGTGGTGAAGGCTTCTGGGAGTTTTAGTCCAAGAACACCTGGGAATCCAAGCTTGAGAACCACTGCTATATTAGAGTTATGTATTATGGAGTTCAGTATTTCATTTTAAAATGTTCATATCCACAGGGGACAGGTTATTAACATGAGATACATTGATTATTTTGAAAAGATGCTTCGTTTCATCAAAGACAGGATCCTTGCTTATCACAGGTAAATACATTCTCTCATTTCTTACATTGTTAAAATAGTAGTGTTTAATACTTAGAGACCACTTTAAGAACTGGGCATTTTACATTCGTCTGAGAAAAAAGAAGTTTTCAAGTTTATGTTCTAAACAAATATAAGGTCATGATGAAGGAAAACGGGGGGGAGAAAGGGTTTTTAGAAGTCAAAAACATGGGGAATAATTTCAGGCAGTTTGAACAAGGACGGAAATGCACATATCAAGAATCAGCAAGTCTCAGAGAAAACAGAGACATGAAACAGAAGAATTCTCCTGAGGATTAGCCAAGAGGAAAGCAGTGGCTGAGTAAAGACTACAGGATGTTGGAGAAAGGAGAAAATAAACAAGAAGGGACAAAGAATAATAAAGAATAAAGAATATTTAAAAGCAAAAGGAGTAACATGTTTCATTATCTGAACAGGAAGTGAAGGTATATAACTCAGAAGAAACCTAAGTAAACAAATATTTGGAAGAAAAACAGGCAAAAGAATTAAGAATAAAGAGGAGATAGTGAAGCTGAAAAAGAGGCAAATGAGGAAGATTGAAAGTGCCTAGAGAGGAATGGGAAAATAGACTATCATCATCATAAAGACACAACCAGAGCACTTTAGTATTATGGATCAGTTGGAAACAGCTTTGTAAATATCTTCATCTTGACTGATTGAAAAGATTAAAAGACGATTCAAACAAGAGTTTGATGAGAAGGACTGAGAAAACTGCTAGCAGAGTGTTTGCAAGTAGAAAAGAAAGAAGAAGGGTGGGCACAAATAGCAGGAACATTGAAATGATTAAGGACAACAAGAGCCCAAGACTTGTACTATGTGTACTTAGAAGCATGAGAAAATGATAGGAAATAATAAAGGAGAGGTGTTAACCAGAGACGAGAAAATCCAGGCTGCCGAAGAGTGTCGAGAAAGGAACCTAGTTTTGTCACCATTATATAAGAAGGTAGAGTAGCAGCAGAGCTGACAGAAGAAAACAAAATATATGTATTAACATACAAAGAATAACCCATGTTTATTGACATAAATACAAAGTACTGTCTTGACAGGAGGAAGGAGCAAACAGAAAGGGTAAATTATATGTCTTTAAAGGTCACTGGGATATTTCATACACAGTTTGAAAAAGAAAGAATTAGAAATATGGAAAGACTCAATGTTGCAGCACAGAGGAGAGTGAGTGAGTGGCCGCAAGGATAAGATCACACATGCATGTTCTTACAGCATGAAACTATGGTTTAGCTTTGTGTTTAAATGAAGCATTATTAAAGTAATGTAACTTAAGTAAGTTAAAGAGTATACATTTCACTACTAAATATGCCATCATATTTATCCAAATCTATTTTATAAAATAAAAATAGGACCAGATTATAATGATTTATTAAAATTGTGTTAAACCCTATTGTTTAACTTTTTAGTGCTAATAAACACAAAGAATTATTAGAAATTCGAGAAGCACTGGAACAGGTACATAAAGTAGAAGACCTTCTCCCAATAATGAAGGTAATTTCCCATCTTCCCCATCTCATTTCCGATAACATTGGATCTAAGGTCATGCAAGCATATAATAGATGATGAGGAATGGAAAGATGGAAAGCTTTCTGTAGCATTTTAACATGTGTTATTAAGTGTTGTATTGCAGATGTTGATGGAACATGGTACTTGTTATCTCTTTCTAATGTCCCAACAAATCATATTGGCTTTGATTTCACAAGAGCAAAGTCAGAGAAAGAGCAAGTGCTGTTATTTACATTTCCTGCCTAATCCCTGATGGGAGAAATGTCTCCCTGCAGTGAAGTGTGATGTTACCAGATTTGAGGACAGGAATTTAGAACTCTGAATGTGGAGAGTCATGCAGCTTACTGTTTCTGTTATACAGGAAGCATGAAGAGAAAGCATTCGGACTCCTTTTACTTGAGTCTTCTGTTCTTTATGGTGTAATTATATACATATATAGCCAGAAAGGAGCCCTGTTGAGTTTCATGAGGTTTATTTCCTGGATATTGTGTGTAGGACCGCACTCCTATTTTCTATGATGGGCAGTAGTTCTTATTTATTGGGTGACGGCTCAATTACAAAGCTAAAATAATGGCATAAAAAGCTGTTTTGCATGTTAATACAGTGGGGTCTCTACTTAAGAACTTAATCCGTATTGGAAGGTGGTTCTCAAGTTGAAAAGTTCTTATGTTGAATCTGCATTTCCCATAGGAATGCATTGAAAACCATTTAATCCGTATCTGCTCTTTTCCGTCCATAGAAACTACAGTGGAACCTCTACTTCAGAACTTAATCCGTTTTGGAGTGGTGTTCTTAAGTTGAAACGTTCTTAAGTTGAAGCAAAATTTCCCATAGGAATGGACTGAAAACGAATTAATCCGTTCTGGCTGTTTTTTTGTTATGTAGAGGTGCGTTCGTACATTGAAGCATTAGTTCCCATAGGAACTAATGCAAAGTTGGTTAATACGTACTCTACCACTAGGGGGAGAATTTTTTTTTAACCTAAGATGACCTAAGGTTAAAAAAAGAGCAGGAAAGGTTTTTTTTCCTGTTCTTATCTTGGATTTCTGTTCTCAAGTAGAAGCAAAATTTAGCAAATGGAGCTGTTCTTAAGTTGGATTGTTCTTAAGTAGGGACGTTCTTAAGTAGAGACCCCACTGTAAACGACTGCATTATATGATGATATATTAGCAATTTTTATGTCTGTTGTGTGCAGCTATTACGCACAAAATAGTATATAGATAGGTATTGAAATGCATTACATTTCTTGCAAAATTACGAGCTTAAGCTGGTATATAGGAGTCTGCTATCTAGTATGTAAGAGGGCTTGCTAGTTGGCAAAGCTGAAGAGAAAATGCTTACTGGGCTACAAACTATTATTTATATCATTTTAAAAAATTAGGCAACGGTTAAGAAATTTTTCCTGGGCTCCTTACAAGAAGCATTTCACTCAACAATTACTATATAAATCCAAATATTCAGTTAGCATGGGATCAGAGACATGAATAACTGAGCAAACATTTGACCTTTATTTGTTTCATTTGTTAGAAAGAATCAGAGGGTAGACATTCTTGATATATCACTCATCGTTAACAGGCAAAAAATGTCCACATCTCATGCCTAGGCTGCCTATGCAGCACTTACAGAGAGCTGTTTCTATTTGTGGAAGGCTGGAGAATGGCTGCCAATAAGATTATTTCTCTGCACAGATACTGACTTCTGTGAGGAGGAAGTGCGACTGACCCAAAACAGAAATGTGAGCAGGAAACGTGGAGTAGGCCACATCAATATCTAGGCAGTTTTCTGTCTAGAGAACTTTTGAAATGAGATAGAGGCACAAGCTGCCCATTCTCAGCTAGGATGAAACTAATCCAAAGATGGCAAGCCTTGCCTCCTGAAGATGGCAGAGTCTTGAGGCTGATGGGTGAAATTGTCCCAAGACTAAGAGAAAGAATGTACCTGTTGGATGTTACTGTGATTCAGAACCCTCAAAGGAAATTGAATGTGTCATTTATGGATTATTACCCTAGTTATGAAGTATAAAAAAAGTTAAAACTGTCTTCAGTATACTTGTACTATTGGTCAAGGTCAAAATTGTTTTCCATTTGTTGGTGCTTGTGTGAAAGCAGCTGAACAGCAAAACAAAAGATGGATTCACTGTCAATACCAAAGTTCCAAGCCTCAAAGATCCAGGAAAAGAATATGATGGATTTACTATTACCATAACAGGAGACCGGTAGGTAGAGCTTTCATTTCATCTCATGTAACTATAGGCAAAAAGATACTTATCAGCCTTAACCTTTAATTAATGTTTTAAAGAAATTAGAGCCAGAATCATTGCATCCTGCTGACAGGCATGTTTCAAAGACTGGGTGCCCTCCTCCAGACTTTACTTAATTTTTTTCCCTGTAAGGCTGTGTCTTCTGTTCTTTAATGAAGTTATTAAATTAATTATTTTAGAACTTTGCGACCTAGACACCCGTGTTAAGTGCTGTAACATTTTGTTCAAGTCTGATTTTGTTAACTCATGTCGGAAACTCCTCAAATGTGATAATTTGGATGTGCCACGTAACAACCACTGTTCCTAATGCTCTTTTTCTAGGAGTAAAGTAGTGTAATTACTTCTGTCCAGTCTATTGTAGATTCCTGTTCTGTAGAAAACTACCCAAAATAATAGGTGTCATTCTCATATAGCACTACACCACAATTTAGCACTAAATGACTAAGCATTAAAAACCACAATATACAATACTAACCTGCTGCTCTCCCCCTCAATATGATCAGCAGAAGGAAGATGTCAGAATTCAGCTTCATTTTAGTAAATTTCAAGGTTGTCATTATGGACAAGGAATTACAGTCTTAAATAAACTCTGGCTTCAATAAGCCAGAGAAATTACCCAAAGTTTGTTGTTTAGTAACTGACTAGACATTAAATTCCTGTTTCACAGATAAGGACAAAGCAAGAAATAAAACTGAACTCTTGGTATTTTTTAATATTTTCATTTTCTGTCTGTTCTTCTAGAGCTGTAAATACAACATTTTTAAAGTATAGTAGGGCCCCCCGTACCTGCAAGATCAAAATCCACGGATTCACTTATCCATGGTCTGAATATATTAAGAATATTTTTTAAAAATCCTAGAAATATATATTTCTAAAGATGAAGTTACCAGAACTGGCCACTAGAGGGAAGGAGCCAGAGACCATGCTATGTATAGTGTTCACTATTAAAACAATGTTTTCTGTAACCCACATTTTCAGCATCTGTGACAGGGGGGCTTGGAACTTATCCCTTGCAGATACGGGGGTCCTACTGTAGATAGTTCAAAATATGTGCAGTATGAAATATCCTCAAGGTTATCCTCAGTATGAAATATCCTCCTTACTTTTTAATTTTGGTGTTTGAAGCCTGAAGGGAAAAAAAATAGATACAGTGTATTAATTTCTATATTCAACTAGTAATTGTTGGAAAAATTGTTGGAAAAATGGTTTTCTAGGGATTTACCCTGTATTTTCATATATGTGTAATTTATGCATGCATTCTCATCTTTTTTCAGAATTGGAAACATACTATTCTCTGTTGAAACACAGACAACAGAGGAAAGAACACAACTTTATCATGCAGAAATAGATGCTCTTTATAAAGATTTAACTGCCAAAGGAAAAATACTTGTTTTATCTACAGAAGCTGGGGTGAGGGTTTCTGTTACTTAATTATTCTGAAGATCAGCATACAAATAATGTAGAATGAACTCAAAAGAACTTGAAACATCTTTTTGTTTCATTTCTTGTTCTGCATGCAAACTGTGTTGGAAATGGACATTTCAGAGGCATCTGATGATGTAGCATAGGGTCAGCTGCTAAAGCAAAATACTTAAAAGTTAAATCAGCTTTGGTATCTGTCCAAAGGAAGGCGGAATTCATGAGCATTCGTCTAGTGAGAGCATCCCATGAGTGGGCTCTGTTTATGAGAAGTCTGCAGGGAGTTCATATTAAAAAATCTCTGTCTGGTCTTTATAAGGTGGCTCACAACTTGGAAAAAAGTAAACACAGTTACAAAAAAAAATTGCGCACAGCTCACCAGACAACTGTATCGGATATAAAGCTGTAAGCTGGGCAAATGAAAACGTTTTCACCTGGCTTTCAATGTGTCAAAAGTTTTATGATATTTATTTATTTATTTATTTATTTTTTATTTATTTATTTATTGGACTTATATACCGCCCCATAGCGCTACAAGCACTCTCCGGGCGGTTTACAATTTTAATTATACAGGCTACACATTGCCCCCCCAGCAAGCTGGGTACTCATTTTACCGACCTCGATATCTGGGTAAATGTTGTTCCTTGCCGTGCTGTGCTACATACTTTTTAATAAAGAATGAGATGGGATCCAGAATAGTGCTTTAAGAAGGATGCACACAATCTGGCAAAGGTTCAGAGGAGGGCAACAAGTAGGATCAGGGAACTGGAAATCAAAACCTATGAGGGAAGATTGAAGGATAAGGGTATGTTTAGTCTTGAGACCAGAGGATGGAGGTGAGATACTTGAAAGATTGTCATACAGAGGAGGGACAGGATCTGTTCTCACTCGTTCCAGAGTGCAGGGCATATAGTAGTAGAATTAAGTTACAGGAGGCCAGATTTTGGCTGAATATCAGGAAAAACCTCCTAATTGTTTGATCTGTATGACAGTGGAACCAGTTGGGGTGGTGAGCTCTCCAACACTGGAGGCATTCAAGAGAAAGTTAGACAGCCATCTATCATATACATTGTAACTTGGATTGTTATATTGAGCAGGGGTTTGATAACCTTACAGGTCCCTTCCAACTCCATTATTCTATGATTCTGTGATTCTATGAAAATGTGCTCCATAGTCCCATAAATTCTGTCCATCAAATATCATTGGACTAACCATTTCCCCTTCTTTATCCCCTCTTTTTTTTGTACCCTTTATCCCTGTTCCTAAATAAATATATAAAAAAAATATATCATTGGACTAATGTATAGTTTTATACAAATATTTTATATTTTTAATGCAATGTAACATGGTTTTATTCCATCTAGGAATCAGATGCTGTGTGCAATCTAATCTTGTCACTTGCATATTACTTCTATAATTTAATGCCTCTGTCCAAAGGTTCCAGGTAAATATCTTTCTTCCTCTTTAGTAACTAAGTATGGCTGTTCTCATTTTGTACACTGGGTGACATAAGATCATAGCTTATCAGGAAACATGGGCTTCCTATCTGCCTTCTAATTTCTCAACGCTGCATAAAAGTTGTTAATCTTATCATAGTTTGGACTTTTCATGGGAGAACGAGTACCTCAAATCTATAATATATATAATTGAACATATTTCTCATTCTACAGTTCACATGTCAAAATTTATCCTTAGTCTGTAATCATGTACAACAGGGTGTGGGAAACATTTTCCAGCACAAGGGCTAAAGTGGCTTTTATGTAATGTGGGTGTGGTTGAAGCCAGATGACGGGAGGAAATGATTAGTTAAATATTACCTAAATAAAGCCCTGAATGTCATTTTAGTATGCCCAAAAGTACAGTGGGACCCCCTTATACACAGGATCAGTATCCACTGATTCACTTATCCATGATCTGAAAATATTAAAAATACAGTACTAAAAGGAAAAAAAACTATTTTCACGTGTGTTACCAGAACCAGCCATTAGAGGGAGCCAGAGACTGTACTACGATTACTTGTTAGTAAAGAATACATTGCATGGTCTCTAGCATCCTATAGTGGCCAGTTCTTGTAATGCTTGTGAAAAAATTTTTCTTTTATCATGCTATATATATTTATCCCCTTGGGATTTTTCATGAACAGGAGCCGGAAGAGAAGCAGCTGGTTTCACTTTCTCCTTCTTCCTTAATCTCTCTCTCTCTCTCTCTGCCTCCCAACTTTTTTTCTTTCCCATTCTCCTACACAGTAGTTTCCCTCTTTCTTGGGACTGCAGTGCTGTAAGGGGTAATCCAGTGATGTGGGAGGAGTGTGCCCTCCCTCCTCCATCACCTCATGCTGTGCACCGAGAAAGGGCTTTCCATGCCCAGCACTTAGCACAGAAAAACAACTGTCTGCTAATGGGGGGGGGGAGTGTGTGATCTCTTTTTCCATAGTCAGACTGATTGTTTTTTGTGATGTTTTGAAACTCTGAAACATACTCTTGTATTTCAAAATGCCATGGAATGCTTTGAGTGTATTCTGTTTTTCCTCCTCCCAGTGTAGTAGCATATTCCATAATCATGGGAGCACTGATGGCAAGTGGTAAAGAAATATCCGGGAAAATTCCAAAAGGAAAGGTATGCCGTTCATAAAATATGTTGAAACTGACATAAAGGCAGCTTCTAACATTACATTTGTGACATCCAAGTGTTAGACATCCGTGTCCAAGATTATCCTCTAAATGTAATGTGGGACTAGTTATGACAGATATCATGGAAAGTTCTTAAAATTTGCTTGGGCATGCCTGTGGCATTAAAAAAAATATTGTGTGCTTTCCACCTAATGAAACAAACCTGAGATCTGGAAGGATTACTGTTTCAAAGTGAAAAGTAGTCCTGAGGACATATATCTACAGGTGCAACAACATACATTGCTGAATGAAGCTGCATCTATATCGTACATATATGAACATACTGAAACTTATTTTCAAATTAACATTCATGGGATGGTGCTGTGAATCTCTGCAACCCAGCTGTCATTACTTCAGAAATATCTACTAGCGTTGGTCACTATATCTTTAGGTCATAAGTAATGTTCCTGTCCCCTCTAAACTGATACTATAAATGGTGAAAGTTAAGAACTCGCCTTGCTTTTTTTTAATCCCTCCTAACCCCAACTAAATGATTAGAGAAAGCTGTTGTGAAAATAGTACCAATAGTACTTCCCTTTTAGTATCAGGTACCATTTCCATTATTTTTGTGCATTCAATAGTGTCTCATTTCTGTGAGAGAGATAGAAATATAGAGCTTCGCTGGTGTTCTATTCCACATTGCTACACCCTTCTGGTAGTGCTAAATATGTGGATACACTTTGGCAACTGTGTTTTTTTCAGCTGTTTTTCAATGTAGCTGTTTATTTGCTGTAGTTGGTTGATTTTGAAGCCATGACAGCTCCTAGCGCAGAAGCCTTCAGCAAAATAGCAAAAGATTGGTTGAATCTGAAAAGGTAATAATATTATTTTTATGTTTATTATGCTTGAGCTATTTTGTGTACTAGAAAAGTCCATAATATGTCTCCCATTAGTTGTCCCCCCCTTCCAGAAATGTTCAGTTCCCACAATTGTGTTTTTCCTGGCAATTTATAATCTGCATATGCAATGCCAACATATGGCAACTATCTATGTCTGTAAATATACTTAAATTAGTAATGAGAGAATTCAAATGTAGTGTGTAAAATTAACGCCATTCTTACTAGTGGATCTTATAGCACCTTTTTCAGTGGTAAAGACAAAAAAAAAGGTAAACATTGATTTAAAAATGAAAATTTGAATTTGGGCACATCACTGAAATTTACTCTGAAGAATTTTGATCATATGAATGAAAGAAAAGGTAACATGGGTTTGGATGTTGCTTAATGGTACACTGGATAGAACTATTTATCTTATCAGAGCCCGCCATTTATGTGCCTGATAACGTTACATTTAACATCGTGTATTATACTGGAATATTAAAAACTGAAATAGATTATAGTCCTACACTTCTTAAGGATTAACAATGCCCTTTTTATATTATGAAGTCAAATGCTTTTGAAGTCACTTGACAAAAAATTTAGGCTATGAAATTCAAGCTGAGTATTTATGTATAAAACTAATACTTAGAATGTTTAATTAAAATGCATAGTATTAGATCTATTTCAAATAGGTCTGTGAGCATTTTTTTCTGTTAATCTTTTGCATTTTTTTTCTTCTCAGCATTTCACCTACGTACAAGAATCTTCCATTGGTTTCAGAATCCTTTCCAACATTGCGAAACATGATTGAAGCATTAAGTACAGACTCATCTCATTGCCTTAAAAGGCTTTAGTTGCTGTGTAACCTGTTACAATAAAGTGTGGTGATCACTTATGTTGGTGTTTTTTAAACAGAATGCTGAAACGGTCTTCTATTTCTGATTTTTTTCACAGAAACCAAACGTCATTTGTTTGATATGTAATTCAAACAAGTATTTCCCAATAGCAAATGTCAGTAGATGAAAACATCTGAAATGCACTATGTTGGCTTATATAAATCAGTTAACCAAGAAAATGGAGGCCCATGGTGAAAGAAACAGAGGGAGTTGGAATATAGCACGTTTGACTTAAGGCAAGCCAGTGACTTCACATTGAAGCCAATATATATGATGGTGAGAGGTCTAGGGGGTTTACACAATTGCAGCTCTTAAGCACTGTTTCAAAAATTAGTTGATGCTGTGAACCAAAATACAAGTATGGCCATTAGCTCTTTTCTCTAGGGTTGGTTTCTAAATTTAGTGATAATGTTTGTGCCACTGTTCATTTCGTATGACATTCCTATGCTAAAACAGTTGCCTGCCATAACTGGTTCTTGTTCCAGTTTGCATGTACCAGAATAACCCTTATATTCTATGACTAAGGGTCAGAAGAAACCAACCAAACTGGTAGAACAAACCAAACCAGGGATATTATAATGACTGAGCTAGTGTTGAAAGACCTGAACAACTCTAATTATCTGGTGAAGCACAGCCTATCTCCACCTTGTTTCTGAAACTGTTTACGTAGATTCCATTTGACATCCAATATTGGAACAGACATTGTCTTGATTCCTCTATGGGATGAGGTCTGCGTAGAGAAAGATTGGGAGAATGTCCCCTAGATAATTATATCATTGACCATATTCTGGCCAGGCTGGGTAGTGTTTTGCAGTGCCTCCTCTTATACATGGATGTCCCTTCCTAGAAAATTGGGTGACCCTTCCTAGAAAATGGTGCTAAGGAGGGTGGAATTTGTTGTATTTGGGGGGGGGGTCATGTTCTGTTTCCATTTCTTCACTTAATAAAATTTGAGAAGACAGGGTGAGGACTAAAGCTTAATCCAGACAAGCTGAAAATACTGTTAGGTGATCTCTGTCCAGTTAGATACCTTGGGAGGTGGTGATGGCGCCAACATTCAGGGCATTCAAGATAAAATAGAATAACCATCTGTCAGAACTGCTTTGATTTGGATTCCTGCATTGAGCAGGGGGATTGGGCTCAGTGGGCTTACAGACATTCAATTATTCTATAAGTGATGTGTATCCAGTTATGAAAGGACTGCTTACCATTCAAAGTAGCATTAAACCCCCTAGTGTTCTCCACCAGTTTTAGAGTATAGCTCCCATCTTTTCTGACTAGTATTTGTCATGCAATGCCCATGACATGGACCAATGCTATCATAGTGCCTATCTAGAAAAAAGGCAACCCTTCACTTCCCGAGAAATATCGGCCGATCAGTCTTCTATCAATCATTGGTAAGCTCTACGCTAAACTTCTTCTAGCAAAATTAGAAGACTGGCTAACAACGTGTAACATACTGCATAGTAGGCACCCTTCAGTCTCGAAAGACTATGGTAGCGTGCTCTGTATGGAGGACTTGGAACAGTGTCTAGTGTGGCTGAGGAGGCCAATTCAAGAGTTACAATCTCTTCCACACTGAAGACAAATCCAATCTGTCCCCTGTCCAGCTCCCTGGTTTTGCTTCCTTTGTGACTTCCTCTTTGCCTCAGCCTGCTGGACAAGGGTCTCTTCAAATTGGGAGAGGCCGTGATGTACTGCCTGCCTCCAGGCTGAACGATCAGATGTCAGAGTTTCCCATCTGTTGAGGTCTATTCCTAAGGCCTTCAGATCCCGCTTGCAGATGTCCTTGTATCGCAGCTGTGGTCTCCCTCTGGGGCGATTTCCCTGCACTAATTCTCCATATAGGAGATCCTTTGGAATCCGACCATCAGCCATTCTCACAACGTGCCCAAGCCAGCGTAGACGTCGCTGTTTCAGTAATGTATGCATGCTGAAAATTCCAGCTCGTTCTAGGACTACTCTATTTGGAACTCTGTCCTGCCAGGTGATACCAAAAATCCGTCGTAGGCAACGCATATGGAAGGTGTTCAGCTTCCTCTCCTGCCGGGCACAAAGTGTCCAGGACTCGCTGCAGTACAGGAGTGTGCTCAGGACACAGGCTCTATAGACCTGGATCTTGGTATGTGTTGTCAGTTTCTTATTGAGCCATACTCTCTTTGTGAGTCTAGAGAACATGGTGGCTGCTTTCCCAATGCGTTTATCCAGCTCGACATCTAGAGAGAGGGTGTCAGAGATGGTTGAGCCAAGGTACACAAAGTCATGAACAACCTCCAATTCTTGTGTGGAGATGGTAATAGAGGGAGGTGAGTCCACACCCTGGCCCATGACTTGTGTTTTCTTCAGGCTGATTGTTAGTCCAAAGTCTTGGCAGGCCTTGCTGAAACGGTTCATGAGTTGTTGGAGGTCTTCAGCAGAGTGGGCAACAATGGCTGCATCGTCTGCAAAGAGGAAGTCCCTCATGCATTTCAGCTGGACTTTGGTCTTTGCTCTCAATCTAGAGAGATTAAAGAGCTTTCCATCTGATCTAGTCCGGAGATAGACACCTTCTGTTGCAGTTCCAAAGGCATGCTTCAGCATGACAGCAAAAAAGATCCCAAAAAGTGTTGGTGCGAGGACACAGCCCTGTTTCACTCCGCTTCGGATGTCAAAGGGATCTGATGTTGAGCCGTCAAAAACTACAGTGCCTTTCATTCCATCGTGGAAGGACCTGATGATGTTAAGGAGACGAGGTGGACATCCAATCTTGGGAAGTATTTTGAAAAGGCCATCCCTGCTAACCAAGTCAAATGCTTTTGTAAGGTCTATGAAGGCCACTAAGAGTGGCTGTTGTTGTTCCCTGCATTTCTCCTGCAACTGTCGGAGGGAGAATACCATGTCAGTGGTGGATCTATTTGCTCGAAATCCACACTGTGATTCCGGATAGACTCTGTCTGCAAGCACCTGGAGCCTCTTCAGCACAACACGGGCAAGCAGCTTCCCTACAACGCTAAGAAGAGAGATACCACGGTAGTTATTGCAGTCACCCCTGTCACCTTTGTTCTTGTACAATGTGACAATGTTTGCATCCTTCATGTCCTGTGGTACTCCACCTTCCCTCCAGCAGAGGCAAAAGATTTCATACAGTTCGGTGATGATGATCTCCTTACCGCATTTCAGCACTTCAACAGGGATGTTGTCCCTTCCAGGTGCCTTGCCAGAGGTGAGGGAATCCAAGGCCGCATTTATTTCTGCTAGGGTTGGTTCGCTGTCCAGCTCTTCCAAGACAGGCAGGCACTCAATGTTATTTAATGCTTCTTCGGTTACTACATTCTTTCTGGAATATAGCTCGGAGTAGTGCTGCACCCAGCGTTCCATCTGCTGTGCTCGGTCCTGGATGATCACACCTGTAGTAGACTTTAAGGGAGCAGATTTCTTCTGTAATGGACCTAAGGCCTGCTTGATACCATCATACATTCCTTTGATGTTACCTGTGTCCGCTGCTATCTGTATCTGAGAGCAAAGCTGAAGCCAATAGTCATTGGAGCATCTCCTGGCAGCCTGTTGGACTTGGCTACGAGCGGCTCCCAGAGCTTGCAGGTTGTACTCGCTAGGACAGGCTTTGTATGCTGCTAGAGCTCTTCTCTTATCCTCAATGGCTGGCATTAACTCCTCCGAATGGGCTTCGGACCAGTCAGCCATCTTTCTGGTCTTCTTGCCGAAGGTGGACAAGGCGGTGTTGTAGACAGTGTTCTTGAAGTGTTCCCATCGTTCAGGTGCATTTACATTAGCTGGACCTGGAAGGGTTTCCTCGAGTGCTTGGGCAAATTCCTTCACTTTTCTTTGATCGCGAGTCTTGTTGATGTCAATACGTGGTCTTCCTTCCTTTTTCATGTGATACAATTTCTTTGTTCGCAGTTTTACTCTACTACACACCAGGGAGTGATCAGTATCGCAATCAGCACTCTGGTAGCTGCGTGTGATCGTAACACTAGGAAGGCTAGAACGTCTAGTGAGGATCAAATCGAGCTGATGCCAATGCTTGGATCTTGGATGTCTCCAGGAAACTCTGTGTTGCAGCTTCGTATTAAAGAATGTGTTGCTGACACAGAGACCATAGTAACAGCAAAACTCCAGTAAGCGTTGGCCATTTTCGTTCATCTTTCCAATGCCAAAACGGCCTAGACAAGTGGGCCAAGAATTGTGATCAGCACCAACTCTAGCATTAAAGTCTCCAAGAATGAACAGTGACTCTCTTTCAGGGACTTTTTTGATAGTAGCTGCCAGATCGTCGTAGAATTTGTCTTTCACTTCTGGAGTGGATGACAGTGTTGGTGCATATGCACTAATGAGGGTTACTGGTCCTGCTGATGAGTGGAGCTGCAGAGACAGGATTCTTTCACTCCCCACAGTGGGTGGAACAATGCATCTCAGGAGAGTGTTTCTGACTGCAAAGCCAACACCATATTCCCTGGTCTCATTCGATGGTTTTCCCTGCCAGAAGAATGAGAAGTTTTTTTCTTTGACAGATCCCGAGTCTGGCAGTCTTGTCTCTTGCAGGGCAACAATGTCCATCTGCAGTCTACTCAGTTCCATGTCAATGACAGCTGTCTTGCGCACATCGTCTATTTCTTGCAGGTCGTTAGGAAAGCCGTAGTCAGGAAAGCCAGGGGTCATTGTCCGTACATTCCAGGTGCCCAGCTTTAGGGCAGAAGTTTTCTTATGATTGTTGCATGGTGCACGGTTGTCGATCTGCTTGTCGGGTTTCACCCTAAACCCCACGCACCCCGTGAGGTTAACAGACCGTGGCGAGGTAGCACCTTACTGGCTGGGGGCTGCCCAGCTTAAGGCGGGCGGTATCTACCTAGTGAGGTGCAATGACCTCTCCCACCGTCAGAAGTAGCCCCTGGCGTCCTGCTCTACGCCAATTGAGCAGAGACTTATAACCGGTAACTGCTACTTCCCGTGTTGTTTCGACGCTGTATGCGAAGCTGGAGTGTCCTCTCCAGAGCACGAAGCC